TTTGTTTCAAAAATGTCCCTTGTTGTAAACTCAAAACGTCATCTAGCTCCTGAACTTTCTGCTTCACTTTTCGTCGGTCTAGCCTACGCAAGTTGTATGGTTTTGTATTACTCCCCTGTTCAAATTAGTGTTTCAAGCGCCAGATTGATGTACTCATCATCTAGTCCATATCCCTGTGCATTTTTGATCCGATAGATACGGCAGTATGTATTGTTTTCATTCTCACTCGGTTGAGGATCTTCAAACTCAGGTTGTAAAGAGCTGCAGTGATCTGTAATGTCTCCATGATTCTCTGGAGTAACTTCTGTCATTTGCTCATTTGATGCACCACATTGGTCAATTTTCCTCCTCAGTTCTTCCATTTCTAGGTCAGAAAGCCATCTGTTAACTTTAATTGTCCTCATTTGGTGGGCAAGCCTTTGCTTACTACATTCAAATACACCAATATCATTTCTCCAGATATTTGACATACAATTCCCTTACCCGCTTCTAGATGGCTCACTCCTCAAGTAGCATTTCATCACAAGCTTGTTCACGTCCTCATCCATGAAACTCTTGCATTCACTCCTTTTGTACCCTGATTGTTCTAGTCATCCACCGGACCATTGCTTCCTGATCAGAGCCTTTGCTCTTGCTCTCTTTGTCCTGGAGGTTATCCAATCGTACGCTCAGAGTAGCTAACTTATTATTATTATGTAAAATTTAGCACAGGGATTTTCCCCGGGGAGAAATATCCAGTCAAGTCTCATCCCGAGACCTCAGACTTCCAGCACCTTTCTGAGGATATGTGCCGATCCGAGGAGTGCCGACTTTTGCATCGTTCTTGTTCTGCTTTTAATTCCTAGTTGCTCCAAGTGGCCTGCCAGCTTCTTTGACACTGAACCCAATGCACCTACAACCACTGGCACCACTTTTATTATTATTATTATTATTATTATTATAGATTCATAGATAACATAATAATAGATAACATATTATTGACATTACATCGGAAAGTGCGCAAGCCAGAATTTAAGTAGTAACTTTTTATCAGTTTGAATTATTATTTTTAAATATTTTTTATTTTTTTATCAACTTTTTGATGCTTTTTATAATTGTTATTAGTAGTCTTTAGATAGTCATTTTACAACAATTCTCTTTCGTAGACAAGAAGAATGTACATAGGGTATATATTTTAATATTTCATATTCTTGAATCTGTAAATAGTCTATTTTTTTAAATCTATGAATAAAGTTTTGTTTTATTATTATTATTATTATTATTATTATTTTATTTATTTATTTATTTATTTATTTTTTTGACAATGATGTTTTCTTTCTCCCACAGAAAAATGTGACAGCCCATTGGGAATGGAAAATGGACTGATCGAAAATAAGCAACTATCAGCCCATTCAGCCTGGGACAATAATTACCAACGCTATGGCTCGTCACGTGCTCGGCTGCACCTCAATGAATGGCCTCAAGGCTGGAGAGCGCAGATAAATGACCCATCACCATGGCTACAAATTGACTTACTTTGGACCCATACAGTGACTGCCGTGGCAACTCAGGGGTATGGAAGCAAGAACGCAAAGGAATGGGTAAAGACCTACGTGCTCTTGACATCACGTGATGGTAAGAGGTGGTACACATACAGGGAACGAGGAAGGAAACGGGTAAGACGATTGGAAATGAAATCAGTGTTAAACTTTAAGAATAATTTTATTTTAAATTTATTTTGCAATTTTGTCAAGTGTTATACAAGAATAGTAGTTTAAATTATAAAATATGTTAAGATATGATAACAAGTGGCGAGGAAACCTAGTTGAAACCACGTTTATTGCTAAAGATTAGCTTTCCTCTCTCAAGAAACAAAAATGCAAGAATCTAAAAAGAAAGACGTCTCAATTAATAATTTATTTCTGTAAACTTTTTTAATCTATGGAGTAATAAATGACTACTCACCGAAGAAAGACGTAGTGGGTCTAAAGCCAGTTGTGAGTTTGGTAATGATTCCAAATAACCTGTAATTGGGTACCACTTGTTTGCGGTGTTGAAAATTGGCAGTTACTTGAAAAGTGGCCGAGATAACTTTCCATAAAGTGTTCCTTGCAAACTCTGTAGTTAAATAGTGAATAGCGCACATTGTCATCGTGACTGTCTTAAACTCAAAAAATTTATCCATCCAAACCTATGAGAAAATTCTTTGATGCTGCTTGGTTTCAAAAGTAAAACAAGAAGAAAAAGATAACCAGCAGTATTTTATTCAGGATAGTATGCATGAACCTTTAAGATTAGAACTCAAAACTTTTTTCTTCTTTGTTCAAGTTATCGATTTTGTTCGCACTTAATCGTAATCCTTACATTCTCATTTTCGACGATTTCATTTTTACCCCATCAGGTTTTTATTGGAAATGTTGACACAAGTTCAGTGGTCCAGAATAAACTAAAGATGCCTCAGATAACTCGCTGGGTTAGAATTGTTCCTCGATCTTGGAATAATCACATTGGAATGCGAGTAGAATTATATGGTTGCTGAGTTTACCATCGGTAGGTGTTGAGCTTGATGTCACGCATGCTCACAAGTGATCTACTCAACATAAATAGGGAGTATGAAAGTGGAAATGATCCTCGCAGTTGAATAAACAAACTAAGCGGTTGGGAAAAAACCGCTTAGGTTGTTTATTCAACTGCGAGGATTATTTCCACTTTCATATCTTTATCCGCAGTTCAAAATATGAGTCATTTCATTGAATTGTTTCCATTCATGTCATTAGTAGGGAACTTAAGAAAAGGCGTTTTTAAGCGACTCACATCAACACTAAGTGAGTCCTTTTCCTTTAAATATACCTTGCTGCTACCAAATTAGTGTTGTTAAGTGTCTTTACTCTTGCAAAGGCGATTTGCCCAAACATTTGGGAAAAAACAATGACCAATTATGCGAAAATTCCACTTCCACAATCTTCTCTTTTTAAGATCCCTAATTTTTCTGTCTAAAGGTAATTTTACATGGGGCGATTCGCAACCACTATTTTTAGACCGAGAAAGTTGTGCTGAAAGTTGATCCCGTGTACCGTGTCTACGCCATTGTTGCGTGCACGTTTTTTAGCCAGCCTCAAGAACTCCCAACGCCAACTCGTAATTTTTTATTTAATTTGTTTGCACTTTATGGCAATCCCTCCCCCCGCCCCCCTTTCACTCCTTTTCTGACCCAGCTGTCTTCGTCGGGAGCAATCAGCATACGCGAGGTATGGTTCGTTTACCAATACCTTTGTTTGCTTAGGAATGCCTTACGTTGGAGTATAAACCAAAGGACCTCTCAGCTTTACGGAAACGGGCCTGTCGTACAGACAATTTCAAGAACCATCTCCAGATGTTCAAGTGACTTAAATTCAAACCTACGGGGGATTTTTTTTTTGTAAATTGTAATTGTTGTGCTGTTTGCTTTGTAAGATGAATGAGTTATTTACTTTTTGTTGCTAAGAACAGCACCCATGGCTTTTAATTTATTTGGAAAGGCTAAAAACTGAGGTACGAATATTGCCTTGGATTGGCTGAACGAAACGCACCGGATCTTCAGTCAAGTTAAAGTGCACACTGAAGATCTCAATAAACTGGAATCATTAGGCTAAGCTCCTCTATTGCACAAGGCGACTATTATGCATCATTCCTTTCCAAATTATAATATAGAGTTTATAATATAAACAAAAATTAATGACGAAATGCCTTTGCTTGTTAAGAAGAAAATGGAAAGCAAAACATGCTAGCTAAGAGGTTGCAATTTGTATACACCTGTATGACACTGGGATGAATGCCGATTATTCATGCCAAACTTATTATCATGTGCTATCTATGTTTTGTACTTCTGCTTTTAGAAACAAAGTGTTAAATAGAATTTCCTATCGTAGAATTATTATGATTGACAATACATGTACTTTGTTTCTAAAAATCTTGATAGAGGAACGGAAACTTCTTTAACATTTATATAGGAAAAATTTACTGCCTTTAATACCCCATTAATCTTTGGCGTTGTTCGGTTTGATGTTTTTCACTCATTAATATACAAGACTGAATGAAAAGGAATATATGTTACAGTCAACTTTAACTTTTTTGGTATTGTGTTTTAGTAAAACATCAATAATAATTTATATCAGTCTGTTACCAAGTGCATCAAGAAAGCCCATGAATAGTTAACAGTACAGAGAAATAAACATAGGCTGTTCCATCTTTAGTTTGAGTGTGATGTTTATATTGTGTTGTGGGGGTACTTATTGAGTTGACCTAAACCAGTGTTTCAACCAACCAAACAGTTATAATAATTAATGTCTGTTTGTTACAAAGGTTGTAGCGAAAGGCCCCCAATTTTTGTATTTTTTTTGTCCTTTTTGTGTTTTTCCTATGGTTGTTTTGAATCAGCTATGTTGAGGAAAACAAATACAGAAGGCTTTGTTGCAAGAGCGCCTTCAGTATATTAGATTTCTTAATGAATTGAGAGCCGTAGTGCAATTTTAAATCGAGTGCTTAGGGTACCCTCCGTCTTTCTATGTTACAATTCACATAGCGTTTAATTTTTAATATATAAATTCACAACTGGATTAATATTTTATAAGGCATTAAGCAGAATCTCCAAAGACGAGTTTTTGCTGCCCCTAGGAGCAAAACATACACTTAACTATAAGGCTTTTTGGCTTTGAACAGTAACCCAGTAATTTTTGTATTTTCCGAATGGATGTTTTGCATCACTGCAAGAACATCTGATTTAGTACAGTCAAAGCCTGTTAATAGGAGGCCATGGAAAGTGTCCGTAATAACGGCTCTCCGTAAGCGGGGTTTGACTGTAGGTGAAAGTTCGAACATATTTTTGTTTTGTTTTTTTTTTTAAGATTTAATTGGGAAAATGGATTTGATGATCACAAATGTATACGGTGGTACCATTTACTTGAAAAACAAAAACTGAAGTACAATTTCCTCCCACTGTGTTACATTTTTTTTTTTATTTCTTCCTTTTTTTTCTTCAAAAATTGCCTGCTAGACAAACTGATCGACGAGTTTACGGTCTTAAATAAAACATTTGGTGAGCAATTGAAGGTTGCGAACAAAGAGTATTTTAAAAACGATTCCCTCGTATTAATGAGGAGCCTGAAGTCATCTTTTTAACTATCAAAAGTAGACTAAATGTTCGTGAGAACAGTTCAGCTGTTCCACAAGGTTTGTGCATCAGCTTTTCAAAAAGTTTCCTCCTAAAAATAGGATTCAGCTAAGGAATACATTTTTATTGAATATCGAAAACAAAGCGGCCTTATCCTTACAGTTTTAATTAAGATATGCCCTTCTGCTTTCAATGTAAACTTGAAGAAGAGTAATCAATCTTTGTGCATTGCGTAGACAAAAAGTTACAGTTTTATTTCTTTTTTTTCGACATAATACCCGCCGCTTGCGTCCTAAGGGCAATTACAATAGTCCATTTTTATTACATAGAAAGTGAACTGAGTGAGGGGGGATCTTACACTTTGTAACTAACCTAAAATCGTATGCTAGCTGAGATGTCATCTTTTGGAACCCGTTAAAGATACACGCTTTCTTCTCCTGGGGATTGCCACCCTGCGTTGAAAACACAGCACCAAAAATTGCATATGAACTGAAATTCATTTGGTTATTTATTAAACCACAGTTGCCTTTCCACGGTGTTTATGTTCCCGAAGGATTCTCAACAGTCCATTACTCTTAAATTTTTTTTAAGCTGTTAGAAGAAAAACTGTAAAAACTATGACATAATCGTGAAGAAAATGCTAGAAAAATGATGTCACGACTTCTCTTGGAAGTTACTGCGGTAAGTATAATACTAACATTTTACAGTTTTTTTTTTTGCGTAATTTAATTTTATTTGCTGGTGTTGTTTCTATCTGCAAATGTTCTGCTAAATACAAGTTATCCAAAAGACGTTACAACCCATTTAACTTTGAAAAGTTACAAAAACAGGTGAATTTGGACAGAATCGTGCCAAAAATATCGAAATTTTCAATATTCGACTTATTCGCGTAAAATTGAGGGTGCATCAAAACTGGATGTATTATTTTATCTAAGGTTTGAAGCTCATGAGAGTACCTAACTGCAGTCCTTTCAGAAAAAAAATTATGACTGACTGCAATTCGTTTTCATGTACTCTGGTTAGAAACTTGTCACCCAGAACGCGAGTGGAACAGCCTATCCAGAAGAGAAACGACACAACCAAATTTTGCTTGCGCCGGTTATTTCTTTTTAATTTATTTATTATTGTTTTTGTTTTGGATTGACCCATTTTTGTTGGGGCCTTATTTAGGAAGTTGAGTCAAGATATCGCTTTGTATTAACCCCTTTTGAAAGCCCCAAGACCAACTTTTCGTTTTTCCGAACAATATCAAAACTTAATAATCAAGATTAAAGGTTATGAGATGTAATAAAGTTTTTGGCGAAATAAAAAAGCTTTGCTCCTTTAAAATATTCTTTTACTCACTTTCTGAGGAAATGTGTGGGGGTCAGTCAAGAGAATTTGCATGTGGATATATTGAGGGTTGAAGGATTAATATGGCGGCTCTTGCGTGTTGACCTGCATACCCATGGGAGGTTGCACGGTTCATATGTATAGCGTAAACTTCTCCTTAAAATCCCCTCCCATGTTATAGGTTCATTCACATGTAAACAAAAAGATACATCCGGTGATAAGCCCCCCCCTATAAATGTCACTTCCCCCTTTTATAAGCGGAAGTTGATTAACATGAAGCACTAAACTCCAAAATCTAGGGACTTTGGTGTTTGAACAACGCGCTGACGAAAACTGTTTTCATGGCAGAAAAAGTAATTTCTATCAGAAAATAATTAGTCTAATATAATAAGTCTCCGTTATTACGACTTGTTTTTTCAGATTCTCGCAGTGTCCTTTACCAAGGGCCAGGCTGGGATGAGCGCAACAGGCAATTACTTTTCTTTATAACTTCATTTAGTTAAGACTGCTCCCTAAACTAAGGGCCTGTTTACATGGAGGTGGGGGACCCCAGGTAGGTCAGGTAACCCACTTAGGTTGGGTAAAAAAAATAAATAACCCTCGTTTACATGCAATCTTACAAGCACGCCATCCCGGAGTGCACTTTCTCAAGATTACTGAATGGTCGCTAAGCACGTGAACAACAAAAATGCTGGCAAAACACGTGTTTTGGCGCTTAATGTTCTTCTATACTCACTTGCTGCTCCAACTACAACCTTCAGTGCTATGGCATTCTATTGATGTAAAGCCACCAACAAAGTGAATTTGGCACGAATTTGATGCGTCATGGGTTACCCACCTTGAAACGTTTACATAGCAAAACCTGACCCCGGCTGAGAGGTCTGGCAGACTGGGAAAACCGCCTTGGCGGGTCACCCCACCCATCATGTAAACGCAATCAAAGTGAAACGAGAGACTATATCGACAGGCGAGGCGGGTTACCCCACCTTAACGGGTTCCCTCACCTACCTGGGGTCCCCCACCTCCACGATGGAAAGAGCCTCTTTACAGTCGGCGACATTGAGACATTGTCCTTAAATGCGGCAACTTCGGGGAACAAAACAACCCACACATCTCCTTTTCCCCTCTGTTCAAAATTGTGATGTTTGTTGTCTTCTTACTGTATCTCGAAAGTGGCACAACATTGCATAGAGGGGGTGGGGGAGGGAAAGATTAAACTCCCTTTTTTGAGTTGGCAAAACGTTAGAGAGGTTCTAGGGCAAGGGTCTCAACTAATTTTGTCGCAGATTGTAGAAACCCTTGTACGAGGTGTGACTTACTTCGTCTACACTCCATAAGTTTTTTGTCCCCCCACAGTAGATTGAAAAAAACCATTTTGCATCTAAAAATAACTATTTCGTAACTCCGCAATTTTTTTTCAATACATGGTACTAATTAATACGCTGCAGCTGTTGTCGCTTTTTTAACTTCCCGTGCATCAGAAAGACCCAGCCTTCGACGTCGGCAATCTTACTTGTATGCGGCTAGAAAAAAGAAAAACAAAATTACAATAAACTCTCAGTAAATTCCATACTTCAAAACATTTTGACTTTTTTGTAGCTTATAATTACAACATTTTTAAGATGGAAAAGCCCTTGGATTCTTTTTTACTAACAATACCAACATGGAAAAACAAGTACCAAAAATGTTCCTTAGGGAGACAAGGGGATTTTATCCTAGAATTGATGTAGATAACACTGAATGATTGATGAAGTTCAAGCAAAAAGCTTATTTGCCGAGTCGAGCTAACTTTTGTCCAATAGAAATAATGTCACTTGTCTAATGTACATTATCGACCACAACTGATGGATTACGCGATTTCGGGTGACGCTTAGTTTCTAAAGCGATCGTATTTCTAACGTCACATTTTGTTTATAGATTCATCCAGAAATAATTCTGATGTTACACGACAAACAAATTGCTCTGCACAAGCTAAGTGCGTAGAGATGGGTGACGGCTCTTGTGTGTGGTACTGCATTTACACCGACAAAACGTACTCGGGGATTGACAACTGTCAGGGTAATAATTTCGTTTCTTACTTTTTTGTGCGCAGTTGGACTTCTCCACAAAGGTCGCCTTGGGAACAGTTAAGAAAGTGATCGTTGTAGAAAGGTGGCCGTTGTCAGCGTAGTAGAAGTTAGGATTTAAAAAAAAACAAAAAAAACAGTCGATGTATGGTCCGTCCGCCAAAACAGGTTGCCGTTGTAGAAAAGTGGCCGTTGTGAAGAGTTGGCCGTTAGTAAGAGGTTCGACTGTATGTGTTTGTTTGTGTGGGTTTTTAAAAAATTATACGAATTGATAATGAAACCAGGGGAATAACATAGTTGTAGGAAATGTGATGTTGAAAAAGAAAGATGATTTTTTTTGTTATTCAGATTGCGCCCTGGCTTGTATTCTGTTGAACTTGAAAAATTGCTGTCATAAAGAGAAGTAGCCTGAAAAAAGAAACGTATGGATTTATTTAAATAAAAGGAGTCAAACTTTGCATAATTCTTAAGATATTTCTGTAGTGATATCAAACGAGATTATCATTCAGTTGTCCTTTTGAAGTACAACCACAATTTATTGCTATCTATACAGTAAAGATACACATCATTGCTTGAAGAATAGCTGCGCTGAAAACATAGCATTTGCATTTTCTATCAAAATATGTATGTCTTTCGCACATAGTTTTCGTCAAGTTCTAGGTTCCAAGGCTGTCAATTGTTTGGCTACAATAACAGAAGCTTATTAAAATGGCATTTCCTTACCTTTCTAATTTAATCTTCAGATATAGGAGGTGACATTCTTCCAGAGGCATACATATACCAGGCCAATAAAAAGTTACCCCACCCAGATGTCATAAAACAAGATGAAGAAAGGATGTTCCAGGCGACCATAAAAAATGGGGGAAATGTGTCAGCGCAAGTTTCCTTCAATTGGTTCGTAAGAGATGTGCAAGGTTCACAGCGCACAATTTCACAGAATCGAACCCTCGTTGAAGGAAACTCTTCCACCTGGATTTGCAGCGGTGAATTACTGTCTAGGGGCCTTAAATTGCTTGAGCTCGAAGTCTCACTTTTCAGTACAACTACAGCACGAAGAGACTTTGGGTTCATAAAAGTGGAGGAACCAGATCTTGTTGCTATGATCACAGGTGGATACGAAAGCCGTCGTTCTTCAAAATACCCGATGCTCTTCAATGGATCGGGCTCTCATGACTGGAAAGGTAGCAATACTGGCATGGAGTTCGTTTGGATTTGTCTTGATGGAGGGAATCTTCCCCGTGTTTTCAAAGACATAAATAAAGTAACAGATCCTTCCAAAGAGGCCAAGGAACGCAAAACGACATGTCCGACCCAAGTAGGTTTTCAAACAAATGGAAGTACTGCCTACTTGATGCATCCCTGGGAGAAACATGTTTACTACATCAAACTGCTTGTAAGAAGAGATCATAAGCGTCGAGGCAACTTTACAGCTGATTTTGTGCAGACCGTTTATGCCGTAAATGAAGATGCAATAACAGTCGACATCAGGTGAACAAGATCCATTGATTTATTAAAAGATTCAGTAGAGACTTTGACCAGGCATTAAGTTTCGTTTTTACAACATCATAAATCAAACTGTTTATTTTTCATTGAATGGGAATAAAGAAAGACCAATTACATTTATTAATAAAAATGCCCTAATTTATTCGTCAACATTCGCGTATGGCTGTAATTACTTAGTTCTTTAGAAGAGGTAACTGTTGTGAATACCTTTCAAGGAAACATGTAAAGGCAACTTTGGGACCCCCAATGATATGATAACAGCCATCATTCTCCCGGAGAATGATAGCTGTTATCATTACGACAGTATTGAATTCAGTGGTCAACATAATGTGGCATTGCCGTTTCAGCCGTCAACACCATTGATGTGTGTGACATGCGCAGTAAATTACGAAAGGTCCAAACTAAAAAAAGAAAGAACTTGGAGAAATGACTGGAGCTAAGCCAGTTGTCAGAAATTCCTGAAGTAATTTCAATCAACCTCATATATGCTTTACGTTATCTGCAGATGCAAATATAACTGCAAACTGAAGGTCGTATCCAGCCATCGATTTGCCTTAAAAGCCAAAGCGATTGGTCTTCCTCTCAATCTTCCAAAAATCAGCTACACTTGGAAATTGTACAGAAAAGGACCGGAAAGCAATGCCTCCATCACAGTGTGGCACGTTAACAAAACCTTGAATTCTCTTACGGCCACAAAGACAACAAAGAAGAACATTGTTTTCGCTAAGGACAAACTCCATGAAAGCTCATCCTACCGGCTGACTTTAGATGTAAAATTACCAAATGGGACAAGCGGTTGGGCCGCCTACATATTCGAAACAGCCTCCAAGCCCTCTGGTGGAGCATGCAGCGGCACCCAACTGGAGAGAGCAGCTTTAGGGGTTATTCTGAATGTCTCGTGTACGGGTTGGAGAGATGATCATGAACCACTCATTTACGAGTTCTACTATGTTCACAGGGAGGAAGACGAAACACCGCCCCACATGCTATCGCATGGAGCTATGCCATATAGTGAAGTTCAGTTGCCAGAGTTTATTTCAGGTGAAACTGAAATAAAGGCAGTCATAATAAACACCGTAGGAGCTCGAGCCGAGGTTGACTTCACAGTGAAAGTAAGCTCTCATTATATCATTATCATTACCATAATCATCATCATCATCATCATCATCATCATCATCATCATCATCATCAGCTATAAGCATTCATAAAGGATTGCTTAACAGGATTTGACTGCAGCACTACATGATCCTTGGTTTAAGTTCATTGTTAAATAAAAATTGAACCAAGGATAAAATTGTACCAAAAAATCTACACTAGTTATTGTGTTTCTTAATTCTAAAATTAATCCTACGCCTTTGCGTATAAATATCCATGATATACACATTGTAGATACACTTCTCTCCACATAAGGGGATAGAAGGCCATTTTGTATTCTGGATTCCATGCCATGGACTCCGGACTCCAGGTACTGGATTCCGGATTCTTGGCCAGTGGAACTTGGATTCCAGATTCCAAGGGTTGGGATTCCTCAAGCTGTATTCCGGATTCCATAGAACAGGATTTCGGATTCCACCAGCAAAATTTCCCGGATTCCGAATTCCGTGAGGCGATACACTCTCGTCATTTTCTTATTTTGCCTTGGATATTCGGCATCCTACTACATTGTGCACTGTAGAAAATAGCTAAATAGCTTGGTTTGGTTTCTATTATGCAGGTTGTGCAACCATCATTTTGGGATGAAACGGACCATGTATATAAAATGTTTGAAGAGACAGAAGCTTTGTTTGACAACTACCTTGATAATGGAAAACCTTACAGAGCGTGGCAAGTGGTACATTCCTTATTGAAGTTTGTTGAATTGTATATCGACGTGCCAGAAATGGCATGGTTGACAAATGATCATGTTAAAAATGTACGTTATCGCCAGTATTTGTACCTTTTGTTTCTAGTTCTTGTTAAAACACAGTGAAACTTTGTTATTACGGGCACCAAAGCACACGATAATTTGATCATGTAAAAGAGAGTTAGCCAGATAGGAAATGGTGGTCGTATACAGAGGCTGAACGTCTAAAAAGGGACTTTCCCATGACCCTCCATAGAGAAGAACATAAAAATTTAGTGCCAGTACCAACCGCGTTCATCTTAGGGAGAGTTGCAACAGATGGAGAGCATCGATAAGCCAGTTCGACAAGGTGCATCTGATAGTCCGGGTGGATGCAGTCTTGAATAACAGGGCTATTGTTGACAGTGACTGACATTTTTTATGAGAGTCGTCCCATTTGTAACCTTCATGAGGCCAATAACATCACGGCTTAATTGACAGGCATTCACTAACACTACGACGTATATTATTAACTGATTAGCCAGGTCATTATGACGAACAATCGTCCTATTAAGGAATACACTCGCCTGGATGACTATATTCCTCCTTTGTGATCCCTTCGTGGAAACAATTTCTGAATCGGCCACTGAAGTGTGATCCCCGCTTTATCGTAGAACCAGCCATTCAGTGACTGTGGGGGGTCTGACCTTGACAACTGCGAACTCAACTTCGCACCCTTCTCTGCCGGTTTCGTTGATCAACCAATTTGTTTTGCTCATGACCTTGTTAATGCCCGTTGTTTTTCTATATACGCTTTGCAGCTCAAAGAACATATAATACAAAGGTTATTTGCCATAAAAGCCACAAACCTGCAGACGGTTCTTCAGCTTTTGTCGGTTCTGAAGGAGGCCACTGCATTTTCAGACGTAGGAGTTTCTCCAGAGAGCATGGTAATTTTCCTCTAACAAGTGCACTTTAAAAGTGTAGTCGGGTTTTGCTTTCTGAACGAATGGCGAAAAGTGGGACCGGAGAGGTTAGACTGGTATTCCAGGACTCTGGTTTATCTTATACGACACCATTAAACCTTGCACTGCTAAGGGTGGCCAAATAAAAAAAGTTACACAGAATTTCAAAATTTCATTATATAGAATGCTGAGGAACAAATAATGGCGTGTGAAAGTACTGCCGAAGAGGTTTTATTTGAATCGTCACACTACAGAATTTTCCACACAATCTCAAAAGTTAGAACTACATACTGGATGAATAACACCATATGAAAGTAATACTGAAGAGATTTCATTTGAAAGGTCACACCATAGGATTTCGTTCACAGACTCAAAAAGTTAGAACTATAAACTACATAGACAGCACCATGTGAAAGTACTACTGGGAGGTTTCATTGGAATGGTGCATCACGGAGTTTTGTTCACAGTCTTAAAATTTGTTCAGTCGCACACCTTGCGATGTTGAAACGCACATTCCTTATTTCCATGAATTCCCTTTTAATTTCAGAGAACTGCATTACGCTCTCTTGATAAGTGGGCATCTGTTGCGAAAACAAGAGTAAAAATGGAGGCAGTAAAGGACCTGGGTCTCGTCAGGGACTCATGGAGGATGTTACTGCATTGCTCAGGGAACATTCTTCAAGCAACAACACAAGTAGACACGCTTAACGTTACTGAGAGGGAGGAGGTGAGACACCTCGAGAAAGTTTGATGCAATAAATTTTGGACATAACATTTAAGATAAGATTGCAAATAGACGACAAAGGCCTTCTTTTTGAAAAGGTTTTGAAAGGGTACAAACTACGTTAGGGTTGTTTTTTGAACTGTTACAATTAACCTAATTCAGACCGGGATTTTTTTCCTTCCTGTGAAGCCCCCCTCTATAACTTCAAAACCGCTCACGCCACGGCAAAATTACACGGAACAATGTACTCATCATTTTCACCTTGTGGGCACAACTTGATTGACACAATGAAGCAATCTGACGTTATCATGACGTCATATCGTTGAATTTTTAGTCAGAATCCAAATTTCCCCCAAAATAGACAAAAAAAGAAAAACACTTAAATAGTAAGGTGTCAAGAAGTTGGCTAACACAAAAAATCTTTAACAATAGCAGTGATGTCACGATGACGTCATTTATTACTAAAAAAGAAACTGGAAGCGTCCGCCATCTTGGAACAACCATTTTGAATTATTTTATTGTGTTCTATTTTACTTAAAACCCGTATAATAAAATAATTATTACGAGAAAAATTCATCTACTTGGAATTCCGAGAGAAATGAACACTGTTGAAAATTAAACTCAGCATCTGCCATTTGGACGTTTTAACTCATGTTTTTTTTTTCTCAAAATAGTCACTAAAAAAGCTGGACTTCATTAACAGTTTCAATAAAGTTGATAAAATAATGCTACAAATATATTAAAAACTTTTTTAAAAAACTGCAAATTTTGTAAACATGACAGCAAACGCTCAGTTGCCATGGCAACGTCAATGTTGACATTCATATCACGACGACTTAAATTGTTCCCAGATAATCTTTAGGAAAAATCGGTAAGTTTGGTGCTCATAGCCTGAACGGTTGTGAAGGTATTCAACGTTTTCGTGAGTGGAAGAGGGGGAGGGAGGGGGGGGGGGGAGCGTTTGGGGTGCTCCAGGGTCTGAACAGGGTTAAAAGTATTCATACTTGACAGCGCCAATATATCCGTTCACACAATGGCCTAGTGTATCCCATAGATGCTGATTTATCCTTCTAGGACAAGTTATACCTGCAGACCTCTAATTCGTTCACATCACGATTAGTTGTGACAAATTAGGGGGCAAATTATCCTTCGTCCTAGTTGTTTCTCTGCTTTTTTAAAGAAAAAAAGCATTGCCAATGGAATCAGTCGACGAAGGATATTTCGTCTCATTGCTTTTCTTGCAGATGAAAAACCTTTCGAGACGTGCTTTGATGCTGAATGAAAAGATCTCTGACGCCGAAATCTCGACCAAACTTCCAGGCGAGAAACACAGCTCTATGAGAACACTCCATAAAGATGTATTCGTTGGAGTTCACGACGCAACTGACGTTAGCCTTTGGGATTTTGAGGAAGATGAAACCAGCGTGACATTCCCATATCTTAGCAAAAGCATCAGCCAAGAAATTTTTGGCAATGCACAGCAGGTTTCTTTTCAAGTAAGGGTGCATGTGCTAGTGGGTGGTTATATACTAAAAACAAATTTAACACGCAGCAAAGAAATTTCATTGCAGGAGGCAGACTGGCAGAGCGGTTAGAGGCCCTGCGTCCGAGTCCCATCCTGACCGCTAGCTGGACTTGTTCTCGGTACTCCCGAGTTCAAATCCTCGACCACGCTGGTAAATAGCTAACTCTGGTTTGCCTCCGGCCAGTTGAGATTCTTAAACCCTTTATGTAAAACATATTTCCTTGATTGTCTGAGTGTGAAAGGGTTCTCTTATGCTCATTGCAGCGCTCACAATTTGACAGAGACAGCTCAACTGAGATGCAGCTCCTATAAGCCTGTTGTCAGGACAATTACCCCATTTTTCTTTTTCGTTTTCTTTTAGATTATCAACTACAAAATGAACCCCTACGCTGTGCACCGGTTTGACGATGACATCAATTCTCAAGTGGTGAGCATAGTATTAAAGGACGAAGCCGGTAAAGTCATTGAAGTCTCAAATTTGCATGAAAACATCTCGCTGACTGTCCCATTGAAAAAGCTTCCAAATAAAACAACGACTCCTGTGGAAACCTACACAGTTCCAGATGTTATGATGTACAGAATGGTGACTACAGATCATGAAAGTACATCTCTAAGAATCTTGCTGACAATACACAGGCAAGCGCTAATGGAAGTTTATGTCAAGTACGGCGGCAGGCCAACGGAGACGAATTACGATCATGCTACAATTGTGCAAAAAGAAACTTGCCAAAACGACCTACAGTTTTGTAATGTGAGCCACTACTTCTGGTTTAATGCTGAAAGACCGGGACAATACTTCATCGGTCTTGTTCAAAAGCTGGAAGAAGAGAGTCCCACCTCGCCGCTGAATTCCATTACGAACGGTGTACCATTTAAGAACTTAAGAAGGAGGCGAGTTGCCAGATCTCTCGAAAAAATGAAAGACTCCTATAAAAATAAATGTGTGAGGTTCAAGGAAGCGCCGAAAGAGCATCCAATGGTTGAAAACAGCACGGGTTCCTTGCCTCAATACGATCCTGAAAAGTCTGTTAACTTTACCTTGGAAGTAGACGCGGCAAGGTGTCTTTACTGGTCTGAAGACAAAGAACTGTGGATGAGTGAAGGCTGTAAAGTAAGTATGGTAGTTAGCGCAACGCCGACTTAGTTGTAGTATTTCCCAAACCAGAGCGGAGGCCATAAAACACTTTGTCTATTACCATATGAGTTTATTATTATTACTATTTATTGTTTTTATTGTTGTTTTTTCCCCTTTCACCGAAAGCTTTTGCAGCCGTGACATCATTTCAGCTACCTTTGCTTGATAAAAAAATTACCAAATAGAAAGCTCAGTAACCTCTCGTCCAATACTGCCGCATTGGTACGGACCGTTAGGAGCAGTCGAAGGATCGTACGCTCCGTACGAACCGTCAGCATTGCTGACAGTCAATATTCTGATTACACACAAAGGCTGCATATCACTATTACACCAGGGAACAGTGTGTTTGGCTCTTTTGATCCGCAGGATCTGTACGGATCGTGCGGGCATATTGGACAACCCTCAGAAAACTTAAGTAATTTAATGCGGAGTATGTTATACTACAACGCCCATCTGTGTGTCATTATCAGTAAATTCGTTTCGTTCGTTTTCACACCAAAGACTACCCTTTTTAAAATGTTTTACCAAAGGACTCTTCTAAAAATCCCAGATTACACTGTTTCGTATACTTTTCATTTTTTTTTCTTTAATGCAACAGGCTGGCAAGAATTCTACTCCAACTGTAATACAATGCCTTTGCACTCACTTCACTTCGTTTGGGGGCTCGTTCCTGGTGCAACCAAACAACATGGACTTCTCTCAAGTTCAAGTGGGTTTTCGAACAATTAACGATCTTTACGATGTCTTGGTCCTTGTGTCAGTACTGCTCGTATTTCTTGTTTACTTGATCTCATTAATCTTTGCAAGAAGAGCTGACAAAAGGGACTTAGAAAAGGTAAATTTAGAAGATAATTGGAGAACGTAATTTGAAATGCGTTTTGTGAGGCCTATACACATCTTTGCTTTCATTTATCTTTAAAACAAGTTTGCAAACTTCAATTACAATGAGTTGCAAAAAAGATTTAGGCACTTGAACTCTTAGCCAAAAATGGTCTTCCGTCTATACCAGACTTCGCAAGATTCTTGCCCTCTTCCAAAGTTTAAAAGATTCCAAGATCTTATGCAACACTTTCGGTGACACCTTTCAAGAAGAGATTTCTTGTACTTGTAAGAAATTTTTCTCTGCGGCGCTCAGAAATGTGAAAACCGAAAGTCTTGCAAAAGTGTCTCAACTTTTCTTCAGCTGGTTGTAACCTATAAAGCAAGGCCGAACTCCTTCATTACCACATTCGCAAGTAGTCCTGTGCCACCACTGTGCTACAAGGCCGGAGGTGCAGCAACCCCTTCAAGTTGTGTCTTCCTGATCAATACCCTTATCTCACTAATTATTACTCAATTTTCTTTTTAGATAAGCGCAGTTATATCCATGCCCTCAACCGAAGACGCTGCTCATCGATATAGCGTCTCTGTAACTACCGGAGCGTGGGCAAACTCCGGGACTTCGGCAAATGTTTCCATGATCTTGCAAGGCATTGAATCTTCCAGCGGCGTCATTGAGTTAAAAACCGACCAACAAGAAAGCGAGAGTACTTTTCGTCGAGGTAACACTGACAACTTTTTTCTTGCTGTTGATAAGCAGCTTGGACATTTACAGAAAATCCGTATTGGCCATGACAGTTCTGGAGAGTGCCCCTCTTGGTTTCTGAACAGCATTTCCATAACGGAAATCGAAACAAACTCTAGATGGATTTTCCCCTGCTATCGTTGGCTCGCCTTAGAGAAAGACGATGGAAACACAACATTAGAACTCTTTGCCCTGAACGCGAAAAAGGGTCGTGACTTCAAAAGCGAGTTTAACAATGCTAGGCTATGTGGCCTTGCAAACGACCACCTTTGGTTCTCTGTTGCTACTAAAGAGCCTAGAGATACGTTTACTCGTGTGCAACGAGTGACTTGCTGTTGGTTTTTTCTGCTCTTGGGAATGCTAACGTCTATAATGTTTTACATTGGGGATACTGATACAACGCAAACTATAAATGTGGGTCCTTTAAGGATGACTGAAAGAGAATTTCAAGTTTCTGTTTTCAGTGCTTTAATTTCCTTTCCTCCAAGCTTCCTTGTTGTGTTCATGTTTAGCAAGAGTCGACGTTCAAGAACGCGTATTACTAATGGCACTGGCGCTGCTTATGAAGGAAATGAAAAGTTCGTGCTCCCCAATTTCTTTGTCTACATTGCTTGGTTTGTCTGTGTCGTCGGTTCATTGCTAGCTGGGACTTTCATCATTCTCTATTCGTTACAGATGGAAGGAAAAACTTCAGCACGTTGGCTGTCTTCAGTCGTCTTGAGTACCATTGAAGACGTTTTTGTTACCCAACCAGTGAAAATTGTCATTCTTTCTGTTCTTCTGGCTTTGCGACTCGCAAGTAGAGGAAAGCAAAGAGAGAACCATGAAGAACCAAATAAGGTCGAATGTGGTGACTCCCAAGTACTGTTCACTATGTCTGCGGACGAAGTAGAGCGTAAACGGAAATACAGGGTTACCGAGAGAAAGACCAACATATTTATGAGAGACATTGCCTTTTCGTGTATCTTCATAACTCTCCTCGTGTTTGTATGCTATGGTGACAAAAATGAGAACCGATATCGCATGGCTAAATCCACAAAGAATGTTTTAGTTAAACTTGATAAGGTAAGAGAAGCCGCTTCTTGAACAATATCATCTTACTTAGGGGCCCATACAAATAACGCTCAATTCAATTAAGTTGGATTGGAGCCTTTTTATTATGCGAGAGATGATTTGCCAAATCAACCTTGCCTAGTTCCTGTACGGCGTTTTCCCAGGCCCTCTCGGTCAATTCTCTTCGGTGACGTATCCGAGACGGTTGGACCATGTGACCCGAAAGGCTTTGGCTGCACGGAATAATGAGGCCTAGCGACTAGGCAACAATCAACCTCTTCTCGAGGTAATCTTATGATCCATGATGCTGACTAAAGAATAAAAATAGCATCTCTAAGAAGCAATCTCCTCGCCAGAGGTTGCGGTCCTTTTTGTCAGCACCAAGGCTCATGCGATTACCTCGATAATGGGTTGATTGGTCTTCCTTTTCTTCCTTCCATTTTCTTGCTGGGTGTGCCAAGACCATGTGGCTGACGTAAAAGGCTGCTAAAAGTAAGAAACACATTGCGTTCATGTATGCATGAGTATTCGCGCTTGAAGGGCTAGGGAATATGCCTAAGCGTCGTTTCAATGACGTTTCCAAGTCTGCCTAGGCAGATGGATCCATCCCCTTACCTCCAAGCAAGTGTTGAACAACTTATTGCTGTTGCGTTGTATTAAGATAAATGCTATAAAAACCTTTCTTGCACAGATGCATGCAACTGCCACTCTTGTTTGCATCTTAGATTTCACGCAGTTCATGTGTTCATGCACTCACGGGTATTTCCTACCACACAACGGTACCAAAACCACAAGCCTTGAGAGTAAAGAGAGAAGTAGGCAGTGAACTTGAGCTATACTCATTGGGACGATTAAGATGTGTACACCGGCATAGTACCACTAATTAACAATGTTGATAACTACTTGTGAGGTGTTATGAATTGATGGATGGTCTGCTAAAGTTCTATTAAACCCAACCTCTTCTGTAGATAAGGGACAAACGTCAATTATGGAAATGGTTTGAAGATGTGTTGATTCCAGCAACCTTTGCAAGCGAGTGGTATAATGGACAGAAAGAAACAATAACAGAGTATACTGGAAACAAACGGTCTATACTGATCGGCATGCCACGTTTGAGACAACTAAGAGTATTAAAAGGTAGGTAAAAATTGATTCACTTATCTTGACACTTATCGGCAACAACAAGCAACCTTCCACCTTTGGGACGTAAAATGGGGGAGGACGCAGCAGATGCTTGTCGTCTCGCGTAGTGGAAGAAATTGTCAGAAAACAGCCGACATTTCGCGACGTCCCCTCCCCTTTCTCATCGACCATCAGAAGCACTACCCAGATCTGGGTGGTGACACTTCATCGGTGTGGAATTTCTGCACTTTAATACTACTTTTAAATCATTGTCAATTAATGATAATGACCCTGACATTTTAACAGTCCCTGATTTAAGCTAGTCTGATTCCGATTAACCAAGTAAAAATGCTTGCTCAGATCATTACTTTCTTTTTATGTAGATTCCTGTGTTGTTCCTTACGAGTTTGCTGATTCCATTCCATCCTGTTACGATTTTTACGACGAGCGTAACGAAGACAAAATGGGTTGGAACGAACTATTGAATAACTCCTTGTTAGACTTGACTAACATTGCTTGCACAGAAAACTGGAAATATAGGACTGAAGAGGAGCTAGGTGCCCACCAAAGTCTAGGACAGCACGCTCTTTATAGTGGTGGCGGTTACGTTGCGAATTTAGGATATGATAGCAAAACTGCCTCCGCGGTTCTACAAGATCTGCATTCCAACGGATGGATAGATCGTCAAACGAGAGTTCTAATAGTCGAGCTTTCTATGTTCAACGTACCCTTTGAATTATTAGGGAAGGTGATTATATATTTTGAGATGCTTCCATCGGGCTTTTTAGGAGCATCAACTGATATCCAGGTCATGCCATTATTTAAAAAGAATCCTGCATCTGTCGGCGCCTATCAAGTCGTTTTTCTTGTTTTTGCCTTTGTTCTTGGTTATTATCTGGTGAGTGAATGCGTCAGGGTTTATAAGCTTAAGTGGTCATACCTCGCATCAATATGGAACTGGCTTGAGATGATTCAAGTTATAAGCGCAACACTAGTCATGGCATTTTTTATCGTAAGAGAAAGAAAGATACTAAGACTTCTGCGGAAAGTCAAGGCTAATCCGTTCGCTTTCATGAGTTTTGATGATGCGTTATTCTGGTTCCAGATTGAAGAGTACATGATCTGTATCGCAGTTACCGTTGCGGCTCTCAGACTCTTAAGACTTTTGAAGGTCATCAGGCATATCATAGAACTGTTTCTCACGATGAAGAAGTCATTGAAACCGGTCATGAGCTTTTGTGTAGTATACGCCATCTTGATCTTCGCATATGGACACACAGGGATCCTTTTGTTTGGCAAAAACGTGTTCATGTTTTCATCATTCAAGCGAGTAATAATGTATCTGTTCCACCTGAGTCTTGGACGTCCACCACCTTGGTCGGAGTTAGAGCAGGTGAATGCCGTATTTGCCAGGCTGTATTCTCAGTCTTTTATTTTTCTTTTTATGATAATTGCAAGCAACATGTTCATGGCAATTTTAGATGAAGCCCAAACTGAATCCAGAAGTATCGCCAAGGACAGCGACGATATAGAAGTGGCTAATTCATTACTATTAAAAGTTTATAACTTTCTAGGCATAGAATGTGAGGATTCTCCATTTGAAAAGAGGAGAGCTGAAATATCGGGAAAAGGTCCTAAACGAGAAATTTCATGTGCCCCCAAAAACCTCTGTGAAAACGAAGCCAAACAAGCGGCAATTCCACTGAAAAGTAAATCTGAGAGACCAAATCTACGCATGTCCAAACTGGTTTCTCCAGCAAGAGATTCTAGCAATATAGATGATTATGGCATACCATCTGTTTCACAAGGCTTAACTTACGTAACAGGCAATCTCTCAGAGGAATTACAAGTACCACCATTTGGACATCACTCAGAATCAAATCCCCTGTGGGAAAATGAGAGTCTCCAGGAATCCGAAGTTCAAAATGAGTTCCCAGGTACATTTCGTTATTCTGTGTACCCATCTGGTTCTACATTATCACTACCCTCTTGGAGCTCGGGTCAAGATCAAAGGACGTCGTCAGAACATCTCCACAGTTCTCTACCACCGGACACAACTCATAACATATCTACTATTTCGTGCAATTCATTCAACGGGCAAGGGGAGACTCCAAATGCCCGTCCATCGTTCACTGTGTCACACAGGTCAAAGGCATTGCCACCGTGTGACATTTCAGGCGATCGACGGAATGAGCCAGAACCTCACTACATCTCGGCTGCAGGCCGAAGCCAGGAACTTGCAGCTGCATCGACTGTTTCAGTTCAAACAAATGTCTCCAATTCAAACAAATTCATGTATTGTGATCCAATAGAAGGCGGAAGTGATTTCCCCAACCTCAAGAGCAACACCGATAGTACGGTGCACTTAGTTGGGGAGAAAAATGTGAGACATGTAAGATTCGCTGCAGGGGATACATTTAAGTCTCAAGTCGACCACACCCATACTCCTTCAATCACAACTACCGTTGGTTCCAGGGAAACATTTGATCACAATAACGTTCTAGCAAGTTGTACCGTAAAATCAGACGGAACCATTACTCTAACATCCAAAATTCGAGGAGCGAAAATGGTCGATTTCGACAAAGTCAGCGAATGGATGAAAAAGGCAAATGCCAGTGTTAATAACAACACTGCCTCAATAGAGTGCCAGACAGAGTGTTCGCGCTCCGCAAAGCCGAAAAGCACGTTTGGCAACTCTGTAGTTATTGACTTTGATGAAGTAAGTAAATGGATGAAAGGGATGTCCACTATTACCACTGACGCTATCCCCAGCGCTTTCACCTTGAGAAAAACGATGAAAATGAACAGGAAAATAACGAAGTACTCAAGAAAAGAGAAAGAAAGTGAAAGAGTCGCAGTGACACTCAAAGACAGACTTAAGAAGCTTGACAGTTATTTACAAGGTTTAGATTTTGGGGAGTGAAGAACGGGTGAACTTCCACTTACGGCTCGAGACCATAAATCACCTTCAAGCACCATCTGTGTCAACCTATTTGGGCCACACGAATTCTCTGGCACGGGCACACGCAAATACACACAGAACAAGCAATCGTCTAAAATCTTCAAGTAGTCTCTCGGTATTTTAACTCAAACTTGGTGTCTTAATGAACAAATATGGCTCGGCGCAATTCATAAAGACGCTCATTTTATTTCTCTATATAAACGTTCTCTTTATAGGGATAGAAATATACATTTATCTCACTAAACTATAATTAAAGTTAAGAAAATGAGTGGTCTAAGATCAGAAAAAAAAGATATGACATGTTGTGGCCCATTTTACTCTTGCCTAAATTTTATTTTCCTTTGTTTCAAACTCAATAAATGTATTATAAAATTCCAAAGGAAATCATTCGACCGCACTAGTCACAATCAAAAACAAAGGAAAACAAAATATTAACCAAGGATGAAATTACGCCACAACAAACAAGTACATGAGTACTTTCCTGCAGTCTTAAGTAATTCACTAAGGACTAAAATCTAACAGACGACTATACATAATGAAAAGAAACTACTTACAGCCGATATTGGATGAACCAATGGGATCTAATTTGGTGCTGGATGGAAAGGTAAATTAAGTCAACTAATATGCAATCTTACTTTAATAATTCTCGCACTTTAAGTGCACGAAGTACAGATGTAGTAAGAGGTAAACCATGATCAATGGCCAATTGCAGAGTAAGAAAAAAAAAAGCATTTCCCAACTCTAAGTTTACCGTAAGACGCGGTAAACTGAAAACGTTTTTCTATTTAGATAATTGTCTATTGACTATGCACAGTACGCTCTGTCCCCCACCGGCCCCCCTCCCCAAAATATGGCATAAGTTATTATTTCAAATGGTCTCGGGAAAATGTAGTCCTCCCAAGAGCGATTGAAAAATATAGTTTATGCAAAGTTGTTGTTGTTGTTGTTTTTTTTTTTTTGGGGGGGGGAAGGGGGCAAACAGACTGCATTATTTGATGGTGGATTCAATATATAGCAAATCGCTTTTCTAACTAATTCAAATTAAGTCTTGGACTTCTTCACCCTTAGGAGAGATCGTTATATCATTTTTCACGGGCCTAATTAGACATTTGCTGAATAATATTTAAACTATTTCACAGTTGTTTACTTCAGGCTTATTTACACCTACATCTTGAAGTCGCTTAGGCCGAAGCTTAAACGCTCATACGATTTGAATACGCTACGTGCGGATGCGTACTTTAATAAAAAGGAGAAAAAAAAACGTTTTCAATGATAATATTCGGATACGTGTCGACGATGCCTTATTAGTTGCAAGCATAAACAAGGAACTCCCGTGTAGTCCAGTGTGACGTACACCTATGGGTGATCTGACTCTCGGATCTTCCCGGTTCAACCGTGCTACGAAATGGCTTGAGCATCGAGCCAAGTGTGTCGGCAACCCGGGCTGCCCATTATAACAAATTTGCGCCGGAAGTTAACGGCAGCGTTTATGTCCTCATCTACGGTTGTCCTTATCGCCTGTGTAAACACATTCGTCTGGTTGTGACTAGAGCGGATACCTCAAAATCAGGTTGGACATCTTATGTTTATTACACAACGCTATATTCTGGACCACGCTAGTACTATAATTAGGCGAATTTACTGGGCACGAGAACTTTAAGAAAAGTGGGGAAATCAGAGTAAGAGACAGTTGTGCAAGGAAAAGAGTTGAATACAGGGTTTAGCACCGAAGTATAGTGATTGCACTGTTTTAAAAACGGTTAGGTTTCAATAATGTAATGATCAACGCTATGCAAAGTACGTTAAAATTAACCGGTCTCGGCAGTTAGCCCTTGATGGTGTAGTGGATACGGATATGTATTATACATTAAATGACGCGGGTTCAAGTCCTCCATACTACCTACTATTGTCTTCTGTTTTCTTTCTTCTCTTATTTACAACTTTAAGTTACAAGACTCCTATCCTGTATTTTGAGCGAAGATGACAATCTGACTTTGGCGTATCCATTCTAGTCACAACCGTATTCGTTTGTCATACGGGTAAATAAGCCCTAACTTTCCTATGCAGTATCTAACTTTTTGTTTATTGCAGCAGTATGTGCGTTGATTTCACGAAGTTATTGAAATGTATCAATAAATTATTCTGCGATTAACATGTTATGGTATATTACAATTATTGCTACCTGATGAGGCTCTAAATTGAAGCTTAGCAAGCTTGAGACAAAATATACTCTTTGCTTATAACCAACGATACTATGGAAAGAGTGTGATATGTATTTTTTTCTATGACAATACGAGTTATTAACCTGGAAAATATTAAACCCAGTTTCAAGGGAACGACTGAGGTGGTGACACTTTTTGCTTTCAAGACTCACGCACTGTTTTAACATAGTGACAAAACCTCTTCTTACATGTCACCTCTGAGAAAAGCTAACATCACACTTACTGGACAAGGCTCAAAACTGCTCTTCAGGAGCAGGTGATACTTAATTAAGCAGATAACCGGAAACGAACAACGAATTTAAACCAAAGTTTCTATCGGCCAAAATGAGCGTGTAAGACCTAAAACGCAGCATGTGATGTTTCTTGGAATACGTTCGTTTGTCACTTCGTTGCCCGGAATGTTAAGGAACCAAATACCTATACATTGTCACATAAATTCAAATTGCTTCATTCTATCCTACGACATGGCTGGACCAAGGAATGGAAGAAGATACTACTATCGATTTTAAACTATTAACAAGTGACAACAGATAAATTATGTTACCGTCAGCATTTTACGATTGTATAATATTTCATGCGCATCAACCAAAATCTGAATACAAGATTATGTATACCTTGTTCTCCTCCAGGCTTTAAGCCTTGAGGCGAGTGCCGTGATTCAAGCTTGTCACCAATCTCTCTCCATCTTGCGGAAATATTTATCTTACTATCCCTCGTTTTGCTCTACTAACGTACTTGGTTGGTACCCAGACCCTGCCGAAAACAGCTGAGGAGGTGTGGTACCCGGAATATAGAGGTTTGAGTTACTGTTGCTTCTCTGAAAGCTTCCACTGCGCATGCCTGAGATGGAACCGTAGGATCGCGCTGCTCGAACAGTGCCGTTGACACTGGGTGAGGGACTAAGCACACCTGGAATATTATAATTACTGAAAAACAAACATAAAAAATAGGGCGTAACTTGAGTCACTGTCTCAGTGTTATGTCACCGAGGTTTATTGGGCAGAGGGAAACTGGCTTGCGGTGTAGGCATTTCCTGGGGACCTGTGAGAAGTCCAATTCGCTCGGATTGTGGTGCACAAGTCAGTGAGGGTCACAGAGGAGGGGGTGCTAGGGAGACCGGTTAGAAGACCTCGTCGTATTCTCCCTCCTCCCCCCCCCCGAAATTCGTATGCTGACACTGTTGATTGCTTTTTCTACTTTCTCTGACTTCCCACTGCTTTTGAAAATTAACGATGGTTACTGTCTGCAGGAAATACCGAGCGTTCACAGAAAACAAATGGATAAACTAAGAAATACCAGGAGCCCATAACATGGAGCAAGTAACTCCCATACTAGGGCTATGTCACGGCGTTATTACGGACCAGTATATTTTATGACACATTTTAGGACACTTTTTCCCGCCAAAACAGAATCTCAAAAACGAAAAGTAAACGTTCTAAAACGCAAAAAATATCATGTTTAGGTCTGTAGGTTTGCTGACTGGTTTTTGGAATTTAAAACGTATTCAAAATTGCGCCAAAACCATTCTAAAAATAACCTGGTCCGTCGGGTGAAAACGCCGTGACACAAGCGCATGGAAGTTGCTCGCTCTGGATTATGGGCTCCTGGATGTAACATAATAAGATAAAAACAACAACAACAAAAATACACGCCGAAAAACAATGACAGAAAAAAATACTGCAGCTCTATACTGGGTGAGAAAAGCTAGAATCCTATGCCCCGTTTTTTCCCCTGTCTCTCCGCCCCCAACACACCCCCGCCCCCCCAAATAACTGCAAGTAAAAACCGATTCTCTGGATCAACCTGACTTACTACTTGACTACGGTAACATACATAAGTGATTTACCCTCTACAAGACACATGCGGATTGGTCAGATCCTCGTCCGAGTCATATCTTCTAGGATTGTCAAAGAAATAAGACTTTTTGTCGTAACTCTGCGACGCAATGGCGGAGGGTCCCTGAAAATTTTAGCAGAACACGTATGTTTACAAAGCATCCGTGACAAATATTAAGCAATTATCGGATGAGGCTAAGTATGATAAGAACAGTAATGCAGATCTCGAGTGTTATTTTTCATATCATACGAAATCTTGTTTTGAGTGAATTTCTTCGTGAACGATAAATCTGCAAAGCTGTTCAGTTGGGAAAATGGCTGATCATATCCTACGTTCTGCGGCATATTCGTTTGCAGTTAAGTAGATAAATGAACGTATTTTTGTAATTGCGCTGTTTCTTCCGTGCGTAGCGTCAGGGCTACTAATGGCGTGTGAGATTTTCTAAAGTTACTGCACAACGGCCACCAAGCTAACTTCTTTGCGTGACGTCAATCGTCGAATAATAGAAATATAATCGGACTAATGATGTAAGTCTTACAAATTTGGATAATGGTAGCTGGTTATGAAGAATTAAACGGGGAATTTATAGCAATAATAGACGGATAAATATTTGGAATAATGATAATAACCGGTAATAATCCCTTACTTTTATGAAAATTCACGACAGACGAATCCCTAGGGCAGCTGAACACCGACGCAAAACCAGAGAAAACTGCTAGCTTTTGCTAGCAAACGAGGAGAGCTACAAACTGAAATTGAGTTGTCTGCTGCTTGTTTAAGCATTATAAAATAAATATTAGAATAAGAGTGAATCACCATGTCTCCAATTTGAGGTCGTCGGACGCGAAAAAACCATAAAACCATAAAGGTGGGAAGAACTTCCCAAACGAACAGCACCAATCCAAATGTAATGAACCTATAATCACGAACATTTTCAGAGTCTTGACCTGGACCAGGTGTTTGGTATTTGATTTCATTCTGCAGGGTAAAAAGGTAAAATTTGCACATGTAATTTTAGAGAAGAGCAGTGATGACGTCAAGAAAATATATATTTGTGAATTTATGAGATAGGTTGTCGTATCCAGAAAGAAGAAGATGAAAAATGTCAACCTGCTGAGAATGTGCCTGTTGGTACAAATTCGAGGAGATATAAGCACCGTTATGGTCCGATTACTTGCAAGTAGCGTGAATACTGGCTTCTTATTGGATCACGCCATACACTGGAGTTACGTCAAGTTTACCTTAGGCCAGTAAAAGGAGCATCATGATGATGTACACATTTTGTTACAAAACGTAGAACTACTCTCTTCTTTCTGCAACAACTGGGAACCTGATTTGCTACAAGACAGGTTTGAATCGTGGGTGGTAAACCCACAACATCACTATTTAACTCGTTTTGCAACAATGCTGAAGAACAAGTTGGAAGTTTCTGTTGCTAGTTTCACACTACTTTTAGGCCCCCCCACTGAGTGATTCATCGAGGTATAAAATAAGTCATTTTAGTAGGAATGAGTGGACCCAACTTAGCCTCCCAAGCGGACGTTCTCGGGGTTGATCCCTGAGGATGGGCGGAAAAAAAAATCAACAAATCGCTCTCTACAAACCATGTGTTGTCGCACAACTTCCTCAAATTTCTCTATCGGGCATGGGCATTATAACAGGGGTTCGGTCTTTTCGATACAGAGTCGTTTAAATACTAGTCTGAGACCAAGCTCTCCGGGACGCTCTGGTGGCGGGGCGGGAAAAGGAAGGAAAGCTTGTAACTACGTCTCTGGAATTTGAATACCTGCATCAAAAAGTCGATGCAAAATGGTGATTGGCAGAGATGACATTAGTAATGTCGTCATTACCCTAATGTTTGCTTACATTCGCGCTGATTGGCGGAAATCTGACCACTCTGTCGACGGGGAGCAACAGGGAAATTGGAAGCGGAATTTAAATTATAGAGGTAGTTGCAAGCTCTCCTTCCTTTTCGCGCCCGAAGAGCTTGCTCGCAGGCTATTTCGATTCAAGTGTGTGACGAGCCAAAAGACTGTCTACGTGGGAGGCTATATACGAATGAAATTGTGACAAGTACCTCATCAGACACATTGATCCAACCAAATCCAAATGATGATATACCATGAGGCACAGTAACAGCTACAAGGTTGTAAATAACTCGGGATACATACAACAGGACAACCAAGACGCAAAGAAGAATTCCTTGACGTGTTGTAGCTCCCTATGAAATAGGAAATTATCACCAAACTTACTCAGTGGGACCTCGACATAACGAACCTCTATACAAAGAAATCCTCGGTGTAACCAGTGTTTTCCAGAAGCTACAGCAGCCAGCAAAAATCACGGTATGGTTGCCACGGAAGCGCCGGCTGCTCGTACAGAATAACTTTTTAAGCGGGGAATAATTCGGTGGTATTTGTATCTCAACATCATTTTTCACTAAAAACAAACATGCGAAAAACAAAGCAAATGAAGGTAAAAAAAGGTGACACCATTGTTGCTAAAATTCTTTAAATGGTCTCTCAAAACGCATTGAAATACGCTTTTACGGGCCCCTTAAACTAACCCGAACCATGCAGCTAAGCCGTGTGAAAGGCTTTCCGCTCCTTTTGATCTAATCTATTACCACCTACTTCATTTTTTTACGTCCACTCTAAAGTTTCTGGAAAAGCCCGGAGGAGGACTATAAACAAGGGGGGGTTAAGAACTTTTTTCCACTAAAAGGGAAGGCTTAGTAGAGGATTTACTGTTCAAGCGGCGACCTTTATGCCTTTTTGAGACTAAGTCCTTGCTTGCAGGCCAGAGTTTAGACAGCTCGAGAATGTCAATTGATTGACGACCAAAATTGTCCTTTTTTACCGCTCCGACTGGTGATTAATAGAGAGGAGAAGTCGTTACATCACGTTGCCATGGTAGCAAAATTTCTGGATGACAACAAACCAAAACGTCACTTAAAAAGTTGATTCGCACTGTTTCAAACTTCATTGACCTTATTTAATTTCATTCAATTTGTCAAATGTTGGCGAAATGTTTCTGGGTTAAAACCGAAAGGACCGCATCTAAGTTTAGAAAAAGAAAAAGAAAAAGAAAAAGAAAAAGAAAAAGAAAGAGAAAGAGAAAGAGAAAGAGAAAAAGAAAAAGAAAAAGAAAAAGAAAAAGAAAAAGAAAAAGAAAATTTGTGTGTTGTGTTCACCTACGCCATAACGCGGGCTCGTGAAATTAGGAAGTTTCCTGTCGTAGTGGTGCAACGACGGCAAAGAAATGTACAAAATAACGAAATGCACGTGCAAAGTTGTTGTTTGTTAATATAAACGTAATATTTTTTGCCGTTCTCCTTGCCGTCGCCGTCGGTTTCGTTATCAGCCAGAAATAGTGCTACCATGGTAACGTGACCTCACACTTGGTAGATGGTGTAGACGGTGATTAAGCTCTCCTTTGGGGTAAACCGTGAGAAGTTACGCGTGAGGGGCACATGAGTTGCAGCGTTGCTGCTAGCTTGCAAGCTCTTTTCCCTCGCCTGCTACTCGAAATGAAGAACTCACAAGCTATGGATGGCGCCATCAGCAATTGTTGTAAACGGGAAGAGAAACAAGTTGACTACGCGATACTAGCCCCGCAATAGAATAGGTTAATAATACCGCAGACGCCCTGGTGCTGACAAAAAGTATCGCTGAATAAAAAACTCTGCGCGCGCGCCCGAGCGCGCAGAAGAAATCAACATGAACAACTGTTTATGACATCACTAAATTAAACCCCCACTTTTCGCAAAAAATATGGCAAAAATTTAGCGAGCAATTTAGGGACATTGATTTTTCAATCAAGCACTTTCAGTGCTCATACTGCACTTGTTGGTAGTTTAGGTCTTTCTATGCTTTTTACTCAAGAGACACATCTTGTTTTTGTTAGCCAAAGATTGTAAATTGGCTATGCTATCCTTAGTCGACGGAATCTGTTTTAACAGATTTCGTCGACTAAAGATAGCATAGTTAATGTTTATGTACAGCGACGACAAGGTGCTTGGAGAGCTCTACGAACCAACAAAACAGACTGCATTGATTATAAACAACCTGCGAAGAAAGCAACGGCGGCTGAAGATGGACAATCGGATTCAAAGAGAGGCGGTGGAAGTGTTAAAGAAAATTCAGCGATCTGGATAGATCGACAAAGTTGAAGGAGAAGAACATGGAGCACGACTTAAAGAAACTTACCGCGCAGGTAAGGCATCGGAAAAAGAACTTCTTCTCTTCTTCTCCGACAGCGTTTTTATGTCTTCTTTTTTCATGATCAAAGGAAAACACTAAACGTTGACAGAGAACTTAACAGCTCTTTTACAAAGGAAAACACCTTCAAGTAAAAAGTCCACTGCGCGTCACCGATGGAGTAACCTGAACAGAAAACCCACGAGCTTAAGTAGAAACAAAAAGAACTTGGACCGAAAAAAATATATATATTTCTTTTCTCTTCAGGTTTCTGCTGCTTCTGAATATGTATCAACATCTGTCATTTTATCACAAGCGGTACTATGCTGAGAAATTTTCAGCAGCCCGGGCCAGGGCTGTCATTAAGAGGCGGGGGCCGGGGATTCTCCCCGGCTACTAAGAACGTGGCCCCCGGCCACTTCCATAGGAAAATAGAAGAAAAATAGGACCAAAAGAAATCCCTAGCTGATTGATTACCCGCCTACTTGTTGTATTTACCCGACAACTTGAAATCCTAGGGACAACCCTGCGGCGGGCAGACAGCAGTGATGATAAAAAACCTGCGAATAAAGCAACAGTGGCTGGATGACGACAATGGGATTCAAAGAGAGGAAGTGGAAGAGTGTAAAAGGAAAATCAGCGATCTTTTCCAGATCGCTGATTTTGTTGTTGCTTTAAGTCTTTTTTTCAGATTGTTTTCTTTAAAATTTTATTGAAAGAGAAGAATATGAAGGAAGACATGAAGCCGTAACTTAGCGCGCCGGTAAGGCATCGAAAGAAACCAAAAGATAGCACAAAAAGTGTCTCAGAGAACTTGACAGCTCTTTTACAAGACAAACTCAACACTTCAACTAAAAGTCCATTGCACGTCACAGATGGAGAAACCTGAACAATAAACTCAGGAGCTTGAGTAGAAACAACAGGGACTTGAAGAGAAAATAAAAGCTATTTGTTCTCTGATCGAGCTTCTGCTGGTTCTCCTCCATTATTAGACGGTACAGTGTCGGGTGGAATATCTACCCACATCTGTCATTTGATCACACGCGTTGCTTTGCTGAGTTATTTCAAGAAGCACGGGCTATACAACGTCTGGTATTTCTTTCTTGACACTTTTTTTTTTATAGACATACTATAAGCTTTATCGTATGCTGCCTTAAGAGTATGTCGAAGCGGACACGCGGATACGCAGTGACTATTATTTAAAAGATATTTACTAAGTGGATACGAGGATACTTAACTCGGATATGTAGTGACAAAGTGGACACCCGGTACGCGGATACGTAGCAATTGAGTATCCGCGTACCCACCTATCTTTAAGGTTGCTTTAAAGTGGAAGGGTATTCTGCAGTTAAGCCATTTCTTCTGCTCGAAGTTTTGATTGGTGTAGAGGTCATTAAGGCTGTTATGTCTGTTACACAACTATGTATCACATGTTTCGTTGCGCCAACCTGTTATTACCATATTATCGCACGGATGTTTGTATACTTTACACCTTTGCACCCTTGTACATATTAAATTAGTGATTGCAACGCATTAAATATTCAGTTTAGGACATGTAACAGAGACGTTGACATGTCGATGCAGATATCTGCCTATGGATAGTGCTGCTGATGTGTCGTTTGGTCCCTCGACTCAGTGTCAACGGGAATTAATGACTGTTAGACTTTTCCAAAATAAAGAGGAAAACCAAACATGCGTATAAAAGATAATAGTAAATAAATTTTTTGAACCCATTATACGTAATCCATTATTGTGCCAGTGTTTCAGTTTAATTCAGTGTCGGCAAAAGTCAAGAAATTAACCTCCACTACTTACAGCAAGTAATAATACCAAGGTGTGCAAAAACACCCCACCCAAAAATCAGCAAGAACGAGTCCTTTTCAAATCAATGACTGATGGAGAGGGCTGAACTTAGTAAACAGAACTTCAATTCAACATTGTATAAATAAATTTAAAAATGCAGATTTTAGAAAACACAATTATGTTAGTTGAAGTAACTTTAAACTGCACTGTATGTGCCACAAAAAACCATACAATGAAAAAAATGAAAAGAAAAAAAGACAGCAACAACAACCAAAATATAAACAAACAAACACCAACATGTACCTGTCCCTCGATTAACAAATTGACAGCTGGAGCTCTTGTTATCTGCAAGAAAAATAGGTATGCTCATTGAGATAAAGCTTCTTTTTACCACTTGTTTGACACTGAAATTATAGCATCAACAGGATCGGACATCACAATACAACTGGCTAATTTTTTTTTCCTAACATGCAGCGGTACATTTTGGCAGAATTACATTTCAGGCATATTCAAAATTATGATTTTGGGAGGATAATATGTAGTAAGGAGTATGGGGGATGGAGCTTCGAACGAGGTGTCAACAGTGTTTATCAGAATCAGATCTTCCAATAAAAAATTCCCAGATCTTTAGCTACCCATGCCTTGTGACATCATCAGTTTTAACCATTATAGACAACCGAAAAATTTAACATCTTTGTTGTGCAGGGGAAGAGATCTTTCAAATTATATCCATATGGGCATGATTCATTCAAACAGGGCAGAGAAATATGACAACAACAAAAAAAGTTCACTCAAAAATTAAATTTAGAGAAAAATCTTGTTCTACTAATAACCATCTGCACGTTATTCCAAGATATCCTAGATGATGTTTTCTTTGGTTAGTTTGTAGTGGTAGGATAAAGAAAAAGTTTCCTGGTAATGCCTAAATACTTATGTGGGAGGAATAGCTGAGGGTGTGAGCCTCATTCAATAACTGTTAAATGTGCGTTAATGCTTTAAGCCCTAAGAGTGATCAGCATCAAATTTCTCCTTGTAATATCAATGCTTATCAAAACAGAGTATTCATGAGAATTACGGACACGATCACACAAGACGAATTTGCTCGACATTATTTTTATCATTCTCTCCCACTACTTTTGTAGGAAATGTATGGGGGCAACAAAATTAATGAGAATTCACATTTTGATCTTAGGGGTTAAAGGGTTAAATACCTGTCGTGACTAAATAACCAATTATTATATTAATGAATGCAAACCTTAATAATGCAAACACAGAGCACAATTCCCACCAAAACAAAGAGGAGACCATTAACTACCACCCTCACTATAACCATAATTTGATGAGCGTCCTGGAGGGGACAAACAACTGCAGTTGCGATGTTGATGACCACGAAAATTACGTTCACCATGACAAATGACACAAGCAGATATCTCCTGTTGAAGGGAACAAAGCTACAGTAAGACACTGTGTAGGTGTAATGCTGTCTCTGGGCAAGGAGACGTGTCCCCAGAGACACAGCATATATCTAGTCAACTTTAAATTTGATTGTCGACCTGCTACACTTCTTTGAATAGTTTTTTGACAGGTTGCAGTTAGTCAACAAGATTTTGTTTATGCATGAATGTAATGATTAAAGTTGTATAGATATACTTGTGGGCTGAATGCTCGGGGTTTGTCAACTCTCAGGGGAATTTAGCTGCTTGCTTATTGCTGAAAGGGTGAAAGAGTACAGTAAAATCCTGATAACTTTCTCAAACCCTCAGAGATTTGGAGCTCCCGATAAATTTTAACCAAACCCACATGTAACATCCCTTAATTGGTCAAAGACTGTCATTTTAACCCCAATTTATCAACCACCCCCCCCCCGCCCCAATTAATTGAAGCATTATTTGCTTTTCCCAGTTGACACTGTTCAAAAAATCATGATTACAGTCATCAAGCTATGGATGGATGTATGAATGTTTTAACATTATTTATTTATTTTTTTGCATTCAAAATGTTTGCGAACACCTGCAAAGATTGTTTGTCAGATACCCAGAAGAGGCAGCTTAATAATTATAATTGACCCTTGATGGCCTGGGAAAAATTGTTGAACAAAAATAATAAACAAATATAATATCTCATAAATTATTCTAAAAAAGAAAGTGGGCTGTCACTAAAATTTCAAGTCATTAAGTACACGTATATGCAATTAGTAGACAGAAAATTGAACAGCTAGAAACTTCCTTTTGTTCTTTTTTCTTCCATGTTTCCTACACTGCATGAATTGGCAGCTTGGGAAAAAGGTCATAGAGGCCAAGGTTATAAACCCCGGCACCCAGCCTTTATCGACATCTCTGTAGAAGGTCGAACAAATTTGTAACAAAAAAATGAATTTGTGTAACTACAAAGTCTTAGGTAGTCCTCTGAATCATTTTAACAGGCCTCTTTTTCTTTTGACTTTGCAACACAATACATTTTTCTACTTACATAAACATTACTGGCTCAAAAGATGTTCTCCTTGTTCTAAACACAACCTGCCGAAAAAGGAACATCCATCATCATTTTTTCATGACCCACAAGAGATGACACAATTTTAACACAATCTTTTCATTTGCATCTCATCTACCAGACAAATGTTATTTACATAATTGTATCAATATCAAAGTTGTACTCTAGCAGTGCCCAGCGGCTCCTGGTACCAGTTACTTTTGCTCTCGGGAAACTAAGAAATCTTAGGTTTTTTAATAGCAAACCTATGCTGGGCCCCACACTGAATTTCAAAGGTTCAAAACACTGGGTTCCCTACAATAATTAGGGGCTTTAAAATCCAACAACACGGCGGCTATGAGAACGTCTTTTAAAAAGTCAAAATTGTATTCTTTCAGTCTATATCGTGATTATTCCTACCCACTTACTTTGTAAAATGGAGGTGAACCCTCTGGAAGTTGAATAAGGGGTAATATCCAAGTTCAGAAAGAATAAAAAAATTTTGTCATTGCTTGTTCGCGTTCTCCATAAAACATGAAATTAGGCAGTTTCACACCATAGTTGTGCAAAAACGAGTGCTCCTCATGAAAAGTTGTTGTCTTGCTCATTAACCCTATTGTTTTGTTTTTGGAAATTCTCGTTGCCGTCGCGTTGTCCCTATCATTAATTTTTCTTACAGCACAGCCTCAAATGCCACTCCAGCAGGTTTCCATTATATGGTCAGATTTTTGTGGTCAAAGTGGCTCACACTTGAAGCGATCAAAACTTTGTGTACTGGAGCCAGATGACGTAAAACAAAAGACTTCTTTGTTTTCTGTTCAGGGAAAAATCTGCTTGGTATGGTTTCATGGTTTATGTTTTTTTGTTTTACATCATCTGTGCCCGGTACACTAGGTAAATGCCCTTAAAGCTTAACAGCCTTCAAGAGGAACTCAGTGCACAGATACATGAATGGCCAACATACACAAATTTCCTTTCAACCTGAGGAGGTGGTGGGAATGTATCTACAAGTATAGGTTGAGTTTTGATGGGGGGATAAAAAGACCTTTTTGAGCCAAGGAGCGTTTGGATTAGAAATTTTGTGGCAGCTTTCTGCGGGTGAATTGCCTTTGAAGCAGAGAAAAAAATGTATGGGTAGCCTAGTGGAACTTTGGGCTTAACAGTTGGGCCTCATATGTACCTTGGCATGCACCATGCAAGTATAAACCCCATGGGACCTAGGAAAACTGAATTAAAAGGTATGAGCTTGGACTGAAGGGAATAAGCCCTAGCTGTGCTCTAACTGACTTAAACTTAAGCTTAAGATCAGGGTGAAGACAAGACGCAACCATCTTACCTTCGCCAAGTAAACAGTTAAAACCGACAACGTTAGAAACTGCAAGTAGATTGGAAGAGCAAATAGTAGCCACCTAGGAAAAGCAGGCAAAGAGTCTGCCTCTGCAGAACTTCCGAAATAGAATGAGAAAAGGGTAGTCCTCAGAGCTGCCCAAATCAAGTAGATGAACAAGAAGACGCTCTGGTACGATAATCTTCGATGACCGAAGTACAAGATGAGAAAAAGTTGAACTATGATCATCAAGAACAACAGCGCAAACAAAGTCGTGAAGACGATTGCTAAACTCAGGTGAGTAACATGTGAAATTGCAGGAACAATCGTAGCTGGGTTTGTGTTGTTAGTGAAGGTGTAAGCGGTGATGGACCGGCCATCGTTCTGTTCTAAATCGTCAAACTCTGGCGGAGATACTTGGGTTCCTGGAAATATCGCTTGGTTTTTCGCCATCACTATAGGTCCTGCGCGCAATCGAAAGTAGCCAGAGAGTCACAAAAATCGCTGGAATTGGTAAGGAACATAATTTAACCGTTTCCTTGCACAAACTTCTCCACAAATTCCGTTCGAAGTGCTCGATTCAATGACATTTCTCAGAAATGTTGTTTTTGAAGTGAGCCCGCAAATATTTATTTGCAGCGGTAATCCTCAAAGCTCTACGTCACCATTTCAGTAAGATACTGCTTCCTTCACAGAAGTGACGAAATTTTCGTCGGAAAATTCAGTTTTTCTCTTCGGTTTTAGACCTACTAATCAACTCAGGACTGGAAACTATAACTTAAACCATTGTTTTTATGAAATATTGCAACATGGAAATTCTGCTGGTGAGTGATGAGGAATAATAACAACGTTGGTGTAAAGCCCCCATGATCGCTAGACGCCGCCGAACCAGGTCGAGCGGTGAAGAAAACGATCTTACTCGAGTGGAATTTTCAAGCGAAATCAGCTTCGACACAGCAGCAGCGGACATGACGACATGTAGAGACAGAACATCGGAGTTTATCTCCGCCGTAAAATCACTCCAATCGAGACAGGTGGGTTGAAAATAAGCCTTAATAGTGAAGCATAATTTTTAGGAAGAAAATGCCGGTGTATGCCGGAGTTGTACAATTATGTTGCTAAAACTTAAACCACTGATATATCGTTCGTCCTTTTCCGTAACTAAATTTCTGCTCAACATGGAGACCCTTTAGAGCCAGGCTGAGACGTTTCGTTAATCACGGTTCGTGAAGTGAATGTGCAGCGTCTCATGTGCATTTTTGTTTTGGAAAATATAGTTCCACGCCGCCATAACTGCCCCGTGAAAATTTTGCGGTGTTCAATCATTCTCCCTACATCTCTGAAAATTCCAGTAGAGCTTTATATAATATCATAGTCACGGATGCAGTCAAATGTGTCTTCAGTATTGGTTGTATGACCTGAGTTGTTGATAATAATAAAGTATATGATAATGGTTTGGTATCCTGGAGACCCATTGTCCCCCAATAACTGCCATCACTTATTAATTGTTCTTCAATGTGAGGAATTTTTTGTGGGGTTAAGTTCCTATGGGGAGCAAAGTTGGTTCTAGCATGTAAATTTACAATATTCACATTCCCAAATTTTCTTTCCCATAAATTGTCATAAAATTTGGTATTGTTTTCAGTTTCCCTCAGGACCAATAGTCGTCCCTTAAGAATAAAAAGCAAAACTTATACAAAATTTTGTGAAGAAAAAAAATCAATATACTTGTATTTATGGGAATGCGAATGTCCCAGGTTCAGCCACCTCTCGTCATCCCTCTAACTCTAATGGATGTCTTGTGAGAAAATGACTGCTTTATGGCCCCCATTATTCTATCCTTATGACAAAGTTCTGTCCAGAATCCATTCCGAAGTTCTGATTGGTTTACATACATCCAGGATACATATAATTTACACAAACCACCTGGTCGCAAATCTGTTGCTTAAAAATAAAACTGCTGTATAAAATTTGATGTGATGGGTGAGCAACCTACTCTTAAGTTTGTCCAAACAAGCTTAACAGACTAAGCGAATGGAAAAATTGCATCGCCTCATATCACAGCACCTGTTTTCTGAAGCCTCCCAAACAGAATGGCTCGAGCCATTTTATTTTCCAACCGGAATTTCTGGTTTTTCCATGTAAAATTAATGGTAAGTACCCATAGTTAATGACAGCTATTGTCTATGAGTCTAAATGGTCTAAAAAATGTATCTCCTAGCACTGGATCTACCAAGAAACTTCCTTGAAGATCCTGGTATACAAGAAGCATCAGAGTTCTGTTGGTGCCAAAATTAATTTGAAAAAGAACTCAAATTAAGGAGAAGCAGAATCTAAAAGACTTGCATATGGAACCCCCCCCTGACTATTCATAGTTATGTACATACTGTATTTACTTACATGTAACATTGCTTTTCAGGGAAATAACTTTACTGGTGGAAGATTGGATCATCAAAGACCAAATGGACTTCAAAAAAGCCAGTTTTTTGTCATTGCCAAGTAAGAAAGTATTGAATGTCTCTTTTTATAAACTTATAATACAAATTCTACTGTTAATTAGGCTGAGTTCTTCATATGATACGAAAGCTGAATTCAATAATTGTTTTATTATTCAGTCAAAATAATTCCTAGTTTAAAAACATGGCTGAAACATGCTTACCTCCATCGATCCATTGATGTTAGGTTCATCTTCGATAGTGCACGTTTAGGTTTGTCCAGCTCAGCAAATCATTCTCCAAATAGCAGATGTCGCCCTTCGAGTTGTCTTCTTGCTGTTCTTGCCATGTTTTTAGTTATTTTTTTCGCCTAGTTCTTACTCTTGAAACGAGTGAAAATTAATGTCTACCATTTGTCAAGTTTACAACCAAAACAACTCAACCTCGTCCCCAGGTCTTCTCGGTTAACGGTGCCTTAACCTGCGCGAACGCTGCACAAAATTCTTTCAAATTTGGTCATCAGAAACTGGTTATGGTGAATTATGCGTGTGCTTTTAGGCAATCAGAATCGGGAAAATATTTTGAGTGAATAATAAGAGTGCTTAACACATCGTGTATGGTGGTTCATGTACATTTAAATTACTGAAAATGAATGCCAGGTTCAATTGATGATTTCAAAAATGCTTGAATTTCTGCTAAGCTATCTTTATCTTTATCTTTTTTTCTATCAATTATTAATAAAATCTAATAAATTAATAAAATAAATATTTATTCAATTAAACAGTCTGAGAAATTGAATAAGATAAATTGATAAGATTTATTCAAACACAACAAGTTAAAATCAAACAGCTTTTCTTTTGGTTCTATTTTTCATATTTTCAATAAAAGTATACAATGTAGCCGGGAAAATGCTGGCTCTTAATGACAACCCTGATTATGCCAGTGGGTTGATATCATTTTGCTGCACAAACATGTAACCTATACTTTGCAGTTAATTTTAAACAATGGCATGAGATAATAAATTTTGATACAAAATAATTGTTGTACTGTACTTTTCTCATTTTGCTCTTCAGACACATTGGCAAGGACATCAGTAACACATTTGCAAAACTGGAAAAGCTTGCTATCTGTAAGTTTGTTCATAGCTTTAGTCTTAATGATTGTATGTTTGAAAAATAGAAAATAATTTTCCGTGGCAAATGATGTTTCCACAGAAATGATATCAAAATGTTCAAAACTTGGTTTCATTGCGAAGTTTTGATTAGATGTTGATGTCATTTTTATGGTCTACAATAGTACAAAGTATACCATGGAAAAGGTTTTTTTTTTGCAATAACATTGAAAGTTTTAAATGTTTTAATGTATTCCTGGTAAAGTTTCTTGGAAAACCTTGTGCTAGAGACAGATAAAAATGAAATTGATTGCACCATCATAAAATCAGTTCCATGTTCTGTACTGTCATTGACTACAGCTCAAATGACAAATCAGTGCACTGTCAAGAAATAACTCAGATGCAGCATTTTAACGATCTCAACTCAGTCTCATAACAAATTCTCTGGTAAGTTTTACCCACACAATAATAGTAGAGGTTGAGTTCTGCAAAAAAAATGTAAAAATGATTGGAAAATACCGTGTAACTGAGTGTTGCTGCATTTGTTATTTACAGACATACTGCATTTGGGATGTGTATCCTTATTGTAGTTCACTATAATGAACAATATTTATACAGTGTATTAGTAAAATCCAACTAGTGGTCTATTATCAATGCTGCATCCTGATTGGTTTAGCTATTACTAGGCTATACTGTATGTTATAGCCCACTGGTAGCGAAAAGCGCTGGCTTTTTGGCAGCAAAAGAAGGATTAAAATCTAGCTTTAACTAGCTTAAGTTGTTTTGACTTGATATTTTTGACCAACTTGTTGGATTTTATCAAAACAATTATTCCTCTCGCCCTCATGACTTCTGAGTCAGTAAGGCCTCATGGGCTATTGACTCTCGAGGAATAATTGTTAAATATAATGATACAGCAAAAAGGATCAAAATGTTCGGATGACTACAATCAAACAAAGAAGTATAGAAGATTTAAAATGTTGAAAAAATTTTCCTATCTTTATAAATAGAATGATCATAAAAGGTCGTACTTAAAAACTAATCTATTTACAGTGTACAGACGTATTCTTAAAATGTTTGGTGTTTATTTTGGGCCTACATGACAGCCTTTGCGTCTTAGGTCATAGGTTAAATCGATCTTCTCTTGTGGAAAGCAGACCTCCAGCGGGTGGTTATCACACTGTTTAACTTTCTTTAAAATCACTTTATCCTATTTTTGCATAAACATCTAATGTTCAATGGAGCAAATATAAAATGTAACTTATGGCATCAAAGTTGGTGGAAAACATTGTTTATTTTTTTTCTTTTTAATCATTCAGTGGCCAAGAAAAAATCCTTGTTTGATGACAGACCAATGGAAATCCAAGAGCTGACTTATATAATAAAGCAGGTACAGACCAGTACATAGTTGTTTTTTAAATTATAATGATTATTACAGCTGTGCTGTGTTTAGTTGCATACAGTCAACATCAACAGTCATTTTCAGCAGTGACTTAAGTACTCCTGCATCAACTCTTCAACTGTTTGTCTATTTTTTTTTCAGTTAATTTTTATGTTAACAGTTTCCATAGAAACTATAAACAATTTTTTTTTTCACTGCAAGAAATCACGCTCTAATTTCTTTGACAAAACAGTTCATGTTGTTTCATGCTTACATGTTAGTGCACAACAGACGTAACAAAAACTGTATACATGTGTTCTCTTTAGCGAGCTATTTTTTGCTTTAATTACTAGGTGTATGTGACTCCTGTATGAGCATCAAGATACAGCTGTACATGTTCACGTGTGTGGAGTTTACACATACTGTACATTGTACAGTGTACCCAAAAGAACTCCTGAAGACAGTCACTTCACTCTTCACTGTACATGTAGATTGGAACCAATACACATTCAACAAAAGTTGATTTTTTTACCAGCCAACTTCCTTTTTTAATCCTAGTGAAAGGATGCTTGAGTCATTGATATTGGTAGTCAAGAAATAAAATTTATTATAATTAAGCTATGGAGTGAATTTTGTCCATGATTATGAAAAGTTTTGTTTTCTTTGATTCAACATGTGTTCTGCAGTTGCCATTTTGAATTTTGACCTAATATCTGGCCATTGTTCTCCTAGAGATGCTTAACATACCTAATTTAATGCATAACTTAGTGATTCCCTCATGTAATCAATCTGCTGTACATATTTGTACACTTGCCAATATCTTCAAGATTATAAATATAAACTCAACTTTTAGCAGAGTTGGGGCTTAGAGAAATATGTAGAGATGAAACCAAAAAAAGCTCTCATTGGGGGAGAATATATATTTGTTTGTTTTGTTTTTTTCCCCGAAGCTATAACAATATGCTATGCAACAGAAAACATTATTATTCTTTGTTTATGTTTTAGGATATCAATAGCCTCAATCAGCAAATAGCCCAATTACAAGAGGTTGGTTATTAGACTGATCTATTTTTTTTCCTTAGTAATACAATACAAGTTTGTTACTTTGGTTTGAATTCAAATGCTCACCTGTCAGGAAGTTATCATAAATTTGCTCGTTGTTTTTAAATGGACAAATTTTTGTACAACGTAAGTGTTTTCTTGCACAAGGCAACTTGTTGAACGGTATATTAATTTTGTTAATGTGTTCGTGTGAATTTATTATTATTATTTTTTTATTTATAATTATTTTTTGCATTCATTATTTACATTTCGTCTCTATTTCAGCTTGTGAGATCCAAAGCCAGCTCACAAGGGAAACATTTACAGACACACTCCAGTACAGTGGTGCTCTCCCTACAGGTTCAGTCTTTACAATGCAGGGTTTTCAATAAGAGCGGGCAGCCGGCAAAATTCGCCAGCTATTTCATGTCAACTCTCCACCTATTATTCTTTGGAAATTACCCCCCCCCCAAAAGCCAGAATTTAATGTTGTCTTTGTTCTGTTCAAACACTCTCCAAGTTTTGCTCCGCAATGCTGTAAATGCACTCTTAAAGGCCCAGATTTCAACATTTTTTCACCCCCTAGCATCTCGTGCCTTTGGCACTCGCAAGGTGTGAGTTTATTTCCCTTTCTGCCTACTCCAAAGCTTTTGCCACCTACTTAAAACCTTATTGAAAACCGCGCAATGAATTACTTTTACACAGGGTTTACAGAAAAACCAATTGGGGGTATTCAATTTACAGAAGCTCAGTGTACTGTAAGATTTTTTTAAAATTCATGTGCATTAAAAGCTGATCTGAGGACAACATTTTTATACATGACTCAAAGCAATCTCCCAATCTCAAAGCATTATACCTTTACAGTACTATTGTTACATTTTATGAGCAAAATTTTGACTTGTTCATTGTTATTTTTCATTGTAGTCAAAACTGGCGAGGATGTCAAAAGATTTTAAAGGTGTCCTTGAAGTAAGGACTGAGGTGAGAGCCAAGAATTTACACTGTAAATGTACAGTCATATGACATTCTATCAATTTTTAATGTGATTTATTTTAATTGTTTATTATTTAAGCAATACAAAACGTTTCCCATGTTTGCATAGCCTGATGTGAACATGAGAGGGGTTGGGAGAAGTTAATTGAGACAGCTCGACTTTGGGTTTGCATAACTGTCGAGAATTCTCCTTTGGGCAACCCCTTGGGTGTTAATATCAGACTATGCAAATACAAGAAAAAATGTTTTCTATTGCTTTTATAAATCAACTTTACCAATAAAAAATGCAAATCTCTTTGTTAAGGCACTGATTGAAAGAGAAATTCTTACCAGTCGTGACGTCTTGTACACAAAGTCTTGCATGCGTAATCAGTTCTTGTTTCGCAAAAAATATGGTTGATTCCAAATAAGGATTTTTTAAAATGTCAGCTTAAGGGAAAAAAAATGACACAGCCTGTTTGTAAAGATATTCCAAGTTGCATCCGACAAGGAAATTGGTAAATAAAGTAAACTTGTCAAGTTTTCAACTCAAAAAACTTTTTCAAATTTGTGCTTACATGATTAGTGCACGAAAAGTAAAAGGTCTTGACGTCACAACCACGTTTGTATACTCTAATGCAAACATGCCTCTTGGCCAATTAGAGCCCACGTACAATCTTAGTTATTTTTTAATACAGGTTATTTATTATTATTATTTTGTGCAGGAAGAGGATTGAAGAGGGTGTTTGTTTAGTGTGCATTATTGAAATTGAAAGGGTGCCTGGGATATACAGTGTACTGTATGTTACAGCTCAAAATTAAATTCAGGGTGAAATTTGTTTACCTAGGTTGATTCTCAATTTCCTTTGTCTCCAAGCCCTAATCCACGAATAATTAAGGCTGGAAGGTGAAGAAAATATTATTGAGAATCAACCTAGGTTAAGAAATTTTAAGCTCAATTTAATTTTGACTTGTAACACATAGCCCTAATGTATTATAAGCAACTTGTAATGCACAAATACATTTTTCTTTCCATACTGGTGAATCAATGGGAGGATAATTTTACAAGGATTCAGCCAGGTCCTTATTCTGCGTAGCCCTTTAGTTAAGTTTGGTTGAGTTACTATTCAAATTCCTTGGCAGTATCCCACTTTTCATTGCTAGCAGACATCATATATTTTAAAGCCTTGCCCTTTGTCACGTTGAGCCGCAGCAATTTCCCTGTAAGGCTGTGCTCTGTTAATTTGTAGCTAGGGATAAAGCTGTGGATGATCAGGTTATCTTTTGTGCGTACATGTAAGAGGTAAACAGCTATGTCTTGCCTAACCTGCGTAGCAAGCATTTCTGTGCGGTTTTGGAGCGAAGAACAAGGAACGAGAGTGCTCTTGTTCCATTTTTTGCGTGGCCAAAACCAAAATTCTCGTTCCTCAGTCTTTCTTTGCTCCAAAACCAAACGGAAACGCTTGTTGCTCAGGCTATGTCTTGCCATGACTTTAGTGGTTACCTTTCAGTGAAATCAGAAATGCGTGATGTCTAACTCCTCAATTCTCATTAGCCCATATGAGATTCTGTTGTTATAAATGTACCTACAGTCCATGTGCATTTAGGTCTCTAGGATTGCGTCCCAGATAAGGGGATGGGTGAGGGACATTGACATTATGGATCAATTATGGTGTCTGGGGAAGCTGCCCACCTACATCAACCCCTCCCCTAAGCTAACATTTTGCCCTAAGTGAGAATTGAGTGTTAATATTAGCTTAAGGGAGGGCTAGGTAGTCAGTTACACAGAAATCTCAATAACGACCCGAAAGTACTGTCCGGGCAAAGGTCTTCTGGTACACATGTAGGGGAAACTGCCCACCTACCCATCCCCTAAACCAACATTTTACCCTAAGTGAGAAGGAAGTGTTAATGTTGGCTTAAGGGAGGGGTAGGTGGTCAGTTACCCAGAACCCTCAATAATAGGGACCTTAAGCAAAGACGTTTTAGAGCCACGCACATCAACCGGAAGTGAGGCCTTCTCCCTTTTTATATGCCTTGACACTAACAAACTTGTATTGCTGAGTTTCTTTTCTCTTTTAAAGACGATTTACCCGAGAGTTTCAACCAAATCATTCCCCAGTGATGCAAAAAGTCCACTTCCGGTTGACGTCCGTCGCTTAAAAACGCTGTTGCTTAAGCTCCCTAATGATTCAAAAGTACTGTGTCCAGGCAAAGGTCTTCTGATACACGTGTAGGCACCCTCTGAAAGTTGACAGTAACCTTAACAACCTGAACTCCCTTTTTTTACTAGAACCTTAAACAGCAGAAGGAAAGAAGAGAACAGTTCTCCCAAGGTAGTGCAGTAGACGGTCTGCAGGCCACAGCAATACAGGGATCCATCCTACAAAGATCTAATGCAGCAAGGGGAGGCAGTGATGCAGTGGCCATTGATATGGATCACTTAGATAGCAGACCACACATGTCTAATGACATGAGTCAAATGCAGATAGTTGAACAACAGGTCAGTTTACACAATGCATTAACTCTTGAAACCTTGATATCATCAATATTATTTTAGTGGCCATCGACATGGATCACTTACATAGTAGGCCCCACTATTGTCCCACGATATGTGCCGGGGGAAGTACGGCAGTAGAGCAATGGGCTCTTGAAACCCTAACATAATCAGTAAGGGCAAACCTCTTTAATGCAGAGGGAGCCATAGAAAGTGTTCCCATTGATGGGGTGTCTGTATTATTAAGCGGGTTGAATAGAAAGGAGAAGTGTGACGTCACGTTACCATGGTAGCAAAATTTCTGAATCACAATAATAGAGAGCTTAAGCAACGATGCTGGCGACGGCAAAGGGAACTGGAAAAAGGCAATGGGTTTATATCCGCAAAACAACAACTCTGCACGTGCATCACGCTTTTTTGCACGTTTCTTAGCCATCGTTGCATGACTGCGACGTGAAACGTACTAATTTCACGCACCCGCTTCACGACATAGCTGAACACAACGCCAGAAAATTTCGCCAACATTTAACGAATTAAATTAAATTGAATAAGATCGATGAATTTTAAAACAGTGCGAATTCACTTTATAAGTGACGTTTTCGGTTGTTGTCATCCAGAAATTTTGCCACCATGGCAATGTGACGTAACGACTTCTCCTAGAGAAAAATTAATGTTATGGTTTCCTTTCCCCAGGAACAGTGACGACTGTTGGTAATATAGTGTATGGGGTGTCCGTACTATTAAGCGGGAGTCCGAAAAGTGGGGTGTGGCTGTATTTCCAATATTATTCTCTAGACTGTTTTCTATACGTTTCTTTTCTACTGATGAAAGAATTAATTTTGTTGAACAATCAAGACTTTTTTCAAGTTGGCGATCATTTTTTTTTTCGTCGTGACCTTTATGTTTAATTTAGTAGGGCTGGATGTGTTTATGCTTGAACCCTGATTCCATCTTACCAATTAATTATTTTAAATTAAAGAATGACCACAGCAAACTACTTGTATTTCTGCTTTATTTGGCTAGGATGAGTACATTCAATCTCGGGCAAATGCCATGGAAAACATTGAGTCGACCATTGTAGAACTGGGCAGTATATTCCAAGAACTTGCACACATGGTCAAGGAGCAGGAGGAACAGATTGAAAGGTCTGGTGCATGATTACATTAACTTTGTATTTTAACCCCCCCTCCCCTTCCAACTGATCGTTGTTAAGGCTGGTTTCTGTTTTGACTACGATCTTAAATAAAAATCCTAAAAACAGTCGAACCTCCAATAACGGCCACCCCTCCACAACGACCACCTCGCTACAACAGCCACTTTTTTCTCCCGGCAGATGGTCCATAAACTTTACATGTACATTGACTCTTGTTTAAACCTCTCTGCAACGGCCATGGCCACTAAAGCGAGTCCCCAGCTGCCAAAATAACCTCTCTACAATAGCCAGTTTTTTCAGTGACTGGTGAAAATGTGTTTCCGATGAAAGAAATATATAACATATAATAAAGAAAGAAGCTAATGGTCTTAAACAAGGTGCATGAAGGTTTTGCATACATTGTCCAAAGCTCTGCAGCGTGTGATTTCAGGTTTAAAAGTTTTGACCAACATTGATTTTCAATTATTTCCTTTGTCTTCTGGGGCTAAGGGACATTGTAAATTAAGAATCAATCTAAATTAAAATTAATCAATTTAAAGTAAAATTAACCTGAAATCATATTTAACCTGCAACATACGATACCCACGATCTGTAAGTCAAAAGAAGGTGATAGGAGTTTGTAGGGGAGGGGGGGTCATCTACAATGTAGACCCTGAGATAAGGGGGGGGAGGGGGCGGTCTCCAAAAATTTTTTTTCTGTTTTGTCTAACTGACCCTCCTAACTGACGTCTAACCCTCCCCTGGATCCGCCAGAGAGACCTCCGCTAGCAGGGAAGCTCTGACCACAAGCTGAATTTGTTTCTCGGCCGTCCCAAATTTAATCCTCGGTCATGCTTATAATTAGCCTACTGGTTGCCTTCTGCCAGGTGGGATTTTAATTCCTGTTCTATTTTAATTATTTTGTTTCCAATTATTTAAGTGGAGCTCCTTAAAACTAGCTAAAGTAGCTAAGTGCACTTCCACGATAAACAAAGTATTTACCATTTTGGTTTTAATGTTTTTTTAAGGATTGATGCCAATGTAGAAGCAACAGAACTTAATGTAGAGGCAGCGCATGGAGAACTTCTCAAATATTTCCAATCAGTGACATCCAACAGATGGTTAATTGTCAAAATATTCTGCGTTCTAATCGTCTTCTTCATTGTTTTCGTTGTCTTCATGGCATAAATTAGCGCAATGATATAATAAATATGGGTCAATTATAATTATTGATTATAACCATAATTTATAATTATAATTATTATAATTATTCATTTTCATCATATTTTAAGATGATATGATAACTATAATTACAATTTATAATTATAAATTATAATTAATAGTTGTCAGTTATAATAATTATAATTACTGAAATGTAATATCTAATATGTATAGTATGTTTGGATGATGTTGTCCGTTGTCACATCTGTCCATTCCTGCCTAGCTCTTTGGGCTGTTGAAGCTGTGTCACGAAATTTATGAAAATTCAAACTGTGGAAACTGCCACCAAATTGAGTGAATCATAAAAATAACTGATTAAAACGTTAAAAGAAAGTGTAAATAACACAGCAAATACAAAAGGAAACACGGATGCACAAACTTGAAGAAGTATGAAACGGATTGAAATTGTGGTTTTTGAAAAAGTGTTTGCCTAACAGTTTTTCAGAGTTCATATTGTTTGCCACCCATGACACAGCCCCTTTAACACTGAGAACTTGAAACAGTTTAGTTCCTAGGTTCTCTCCTACTCGTCCTGCGAGGAGAGAACCCTGGGAATGAGGTTGAACTTAAAAGAGAGACAGGGAAAAGATATTTGTCGCAGTGATGGTAGCTGATATATATTCATTTTGTACATGTGGTATATTTATACTACAAATCATACGTGTACCTTCTAGCCTGAAGGAAACCAATTGGTGGTTTGAAGCTTGTTGGTCGACAAGAACTAAAGCTTTTCACTGCGCGTGAAACTAATCTCTTTATATGCACATTCTGTGAAAGAGATTTGAATTGTTTTGTGAACCAACATGCATGGCTTCCTTTTCATGTGGTTGTAAACCAAGAATATTTCTTGCTGCCTTTGACGAACTTACCTCAAGACTGACTGGCCATTCATCCTTCACGGGCATTCATCTTAGCATTATGTTCTTTTCGATATTTTTCTTTAGATTTCACTCTCAACGTATAGAAAACACAGGGGATGTCTTATAGAAATCATGGTAACAGATATTTGTTGCAACGAATAGATCTCTGAGGGTATCTCATTGGTTAGTTATGTCCCTCATTTAGATCGACGTTTACGTCATATATTACCTGTAAAATTATGAAAAACTCAGCAGTAATAGGCATCTATTGTTATGATTTACTGACCTTAAGCTCCGTGATATAGTTTGACGACTGCTGCGTTGAAATGAATGAATAATGAGAAACGGTTTTTAGAAGGGATGTCAAAAGAGACGTGTCCGTCGAAATGTTATTTTACGCTGAGAGGGATTAATAAAAATAAAATTAACCTCATGTTGAAGTCTGCCGTGTTAACAGAATTTCATGGTCATGTCCTGTGTTGCAAATTTTCACCACTGAAGAAAAAAACTGCTGCCATTACCCCGAACTGGAGATTAGGATTGCGGACTTCCTCTTGTTGCCCGCAATGAACTTGAGCGATCGTAATGCGATCGTGTCAGAAATCATTCTAGAGTCTGCCTTTGTAGTCTGGTTAGCAACGGACCAGCGACGTCTTAGAAAAGCGAATTTTTCCGAACGATGCGCCAGTCCATGGTCGCTGTATGGGAGTCCTTTCAGTTGGGTAATTTATTGCCGATTTATTAGTGACCCTGTGCAACATGAACAGGAATCGGTGGGGGAGGGGAATAATTTATGATAACAAATAGTTGTTAGACTCTATTGTACCGGGGTGGAGGGTGCGGGGAAAGGCTAATGTAAGTCTTTGGACAAAGTAGGGAGGGAAGGGGGGCTGTTGAGCTTCCATCGTCATCGCTCTTCCGGCCTTGCCGTCTCCGATATGTCGGATGATTTAACTCTTTAAATCTACAAGACATTGTTGTTGTGTAATCTAGTTAGCTTTTCTTCATTTCTCGTCACTTAGCCAAACAAGAAAGTATAGTACGGGTGGGTTATTTAAACGAAGTCTAACTTAGGTCGTGCTTCAAGAAATCATTGGACCTCCAGATCTCTTCCTTAGTTTTTTTTCTTGTTTTTTGTTTTAAAGAAAATATTAAGTGCTTTTCCAGTCTACGCCATATGCTTTAATGAAATTTGTCTCGATAAATAGTGTTTAGATAAAAGCGTTGGGGCAACCTGAAAATGGCTTAGAACGCGGTTTTGTTAAACACTGGCAAATTCCGTTTAAATAACCAACCCATATGTGTTTAGAACAGCCTCAATCAAACCTAGTAGTACAAAAGCAACAAAAACTGCCCTTCTTCGACAAGAGAACGTGTTCAGAATATACTTAAGCGGACACAGGAATCAGTTGTAAAGGTCTTGGTCTAGAATTATGCAATTTCTCCTGTTGAACTGTTATCTTAATTTGCTCTTGATCTTTTGTCCCTTTGAATCTAAGGCGGATGTTTTCGCGCGCATTGTTTGAGATCAAATCATTGTGTCACCAGTGAAGCCTGGCACCGGCAGAGAGTGAACTTTAAATGTGTTTTGTTGCTGATGCACCTGGTACTTGTCTTTTTGAGCAGCAAAATCATTTGATAAATTTTACGCGCATCTTAAGGTCTTTTTCGATCTTTTAGAAGGTATTTGTTGGTTAAAAAAGTTGCCCCTTCACCAATTCCTCACCGTTACCGACTGAAAAGGCAGTAGACCTCCATCGTCCGCGGCCCACAAGTGTATTCATCAAAATCACATATCTAATGGTATTCTTTTGTTTCCAGGCTATTACTGGTAGGATGTATTAAAAATTTGCTGCTGGCCGCGTGCAGCATGCTTCAATACCACCAACGATCACTCTGGATTTCAGTATGTGTTCAGACTTGTGAAAAAGTCGCATTTGACAAGTCTAACAAAGAATATATAACCATTATCTTAAGAGGGTGACACCAATTACTATGAAACCGAGTATTCTCCCTAGTGGCCCTCTAAAAACAAAATTAATAATAAACTACAACAATCATGATAAATGGCCAATGTACAAATAGTGATTATGATAAAAGGTCTTAAAAATTCTAGAGATTTAAAAACGAAAGTGAATAAATTGGTAGAAAAGGGAATCAATTTACAATTATATTTAAAAAAAAAACACGGAAATTTTAAAAATCAGAATAACTTTTTAAATTTAAAATTGTCCACCGTATGGTTTGAGGGGGCGTTATTAGTCACTGTAGTCTTCATCAAGCTAAAGGAGGTGATGGGTTCTAAGTTAAAAGCATTTATGGCTCCGGCAACACCTAGCGAAAAAGAAGAGGCAAAGGTTACAGACCAGTTTTTATCATGTACGGGGGAAGATCCCGGGAGGGGCATTTACTCTCTTATTTTCGTTCCCGCTCCTGAGGGATATTTGGCCGTTTGAGTGTTCAACTGCTCATTACTGCAAAGTTTGAGAGACTGTGGGTAGCGCATATTTTTTAAATAAATATTACGAAAAAATAACGACCAACGCTTACCAAACAACTTATAGATAGGTACTTTTTTTATTAGTCATTTGATTTCTTTTTCTGTTTTTATATTACTAAAGTGTTATCCTTTACATGTATATATACTCCTTGACGACACTGTACGTGCTCAAAATAAATTTAAAAAAAGCCTAATACAAGTAACAGGTGGGCCCTTTTTGTGTTTTACTTTTAGTTCTTCAATTGTCTCAAGTCGCCATGCAATCGAGCGTGCTGAACTGTCATCGTAAATTTTAAAGGTATATTTAATCTTCGGTAATCTTATCGTCTAGGACTTTGCAAAGAACGGATGTTTCGCTAGTACATTGTTTTCACGTCATGCATTGTCTAATAGTAGGCAAGTTGATTGATAGAAGATCAGCAAGCGCTAAGCAATCAAAAACTATTTCCCAATCAGTATTTTAATTAGACTGAGACTGTGTGTTTGATTGCACATATAAGACCTTTGCTTTTTAGCTTGATCCTCGTTTCTTTCATTAAAACTAAGGATGAGATCGCCAGAGAAGATTAAACAGAATTTGAAAGAAAAAATTTGGTGTAAAGGGTTTGGAAACAGAAAAGAACCTGGATGAACGTTTTCAGACGTCGTTTGTCTGCTTGCAAATACGTAACGGAAATTAAATTCCTTGAATGTACATCTTTCTCTCCATCTCCGTCTCTTATCCGCTAAGTGCACTTAGAATTCTGCATTTATAGTTTGTTGATGGCTAGTTGTTGAATAATATGTGAAAGCCTTGAAGCTCTGCCTGATGGCTAAACGGTCGACGTTCGTTTGTATTTCTGTTTCAAAAAAGGAGAGTTCTTGGAAGAAAGTCAGTTGAAAGACGTTCTCTCATAGTAGAAAAAGTAGAAGAATGACAATTTTCCCTTGATAAATACTTGTCAGGTAAATTGCTTTCTTTTCATAGCGTTGGAAGAGATGAGTTGATTGTCACCACTACATCATTATCCTTTCTGACTTTAATTTTTTTTTGAACTGCTTATTTTCAATTTCCCCAAACTGGTCCAAAACATTTTTCAAAAGCCTTTCACTGAAGGTGAGCTAAATTTAAATTGAATTAAGACAGCAGCATTTTCTTTGTAGTTTGTACTTAGAAGTACTTTGGTAAATATTTTCCAACAAACAAAAATATTGTATGGCGTAGTTAAGAAGCGAACTCGTTTTCGTGGTAAAATTTTTGGTTCTCACATACAGCCACATCATTAAACAGATAAAAAACCTTAGAGCAAAACAATTTAAACAAATCAAATATTTTGATATACTTCTTCAGCGAACCTTTCTGTTAAGTAATTAAATAGCCGAATCTGACTTGACATCGCTAATGAAGTTTGAGGCTTTGAGCAAGTCGAACGAAGTTAACATTAGATGTGTTCTGTTTTTGCTGTGAGTTTTCGAATTTGTGTTATGATGATTATATAATATGTCTGCCAGGGAAGATGAACTGAACCTTTTTTAATTGTAACATTTTTAAGTAGTTACATAGGATTTACATTTTTGAATATTATTCACAGATTCACAGAGTTAGATGTCGGACAGGTCTTCATATACAGGAAAAGCTATCCGCTATACGAATGTGAACGTCGCCTAAGAATATAACTAGTTTGCTGCCATGCTACTTCAAGTCTTTATATTCATCACATTGAAATAATATTTTACAGCATAATTTGGACTATTTCACGCTAATCCAGACGCGATGGATTCTGAATCTTACGGGCCGTCTCCTAGTCTCGAAGCAAAACCCACACTTCCGTCGGAGAACGACAGCACTTTCCAGATGTCCTTGCAGATGGTGGTAGAAACGATTTTTATCGTCTTTGGCGTTCCAAGCAACATTTTGGCAATTTTCATTCTCTGGAAGAAATCCAACGGTTCGCTGTCGCCTGCTGTACCGTTATTGGTTAACTTAGCGGCGGCTGACCTACTAGTATTAACAGTTTTTATGCCGTTTTACCTTGTGTATGAGGCTATGGAGTTTCATTGGCCCTTTGGGGCACTCCTCTGCAAGGGCGTTTTCACCTTAACACATATCTGTATGTATGCTTCGCTTGCGACCCTGGCGACCATAGCCGTAGAGAGATACCTTATAACATTTTATAACTCGATCAAACAAAGTCTTGTCAGGTATCTTATTATAGTGATTTGGGTGGTTGCTTTCATTCTTAGCATTCCTCAGTTAGTTTTTCTCCAAACCATTAACGTCAATTCCCTTGATGGTATTGAGGAAAAAGAGTTTTTGTCTAGCGACGAGGAGGCAGAGGATGAATTGGAAGAAATATACATATGTGACATAGTTTGGCCACAACCGAATTTTGAGAAAATTCTCCAACCAATTGACGCGGTTTTATTGTATTTAGTACCTTTAGCTTTTGTTTTTGTCATTTATGTTAAGATCGTCCTTGAACTGCGCGCTATTGACGGTAAAAGGCTTCCTCCTGCGAGGCGGGTTTTCGTAAAGCAACGAAAATGTGTGATTCGCAAAATGATAGCCGTTATAGCGATCTTCGCGCTGTGCCATCTTCCGATTCACGTGTTTCACCTACTCCGCGTGTTTTTTTACCAGACCTGGGAGGTACTCGTGACGGAGTATCCATGGCTGTTTTCTCTCTGTGCAAACCTGGTACTCGCTACTCACGTCATAAACCCGTTTTTGTACGGCTCCATTCACCGCTGCTTCATGTGCAGTATGGAATTTATTAAGTATCTAGATTGCCATCTACGTTTTAGCTCTTCTGCAAGTTCCTTTCGTTCTCCCCTCAATCGTTGGAGTAACACTAAGCAAACGTTTGTTAAAAACTGATCGATTTTTTTGCCAGTGATCGCGTGAGACGGAACACTTATCATTATCCAATCCAAAGTTTTGCCGAGTGTCAGATCACGCGCTTCATTATTTTTATTCCTGCAAGACTTAACAGTTACCAGTCAACTATAATTAGTTCTTTTACAAAGTAACTAAAAAATGGAAAACCGAAAAATTGCTATAAAACTGTAAAATTACCTATCTGAGTAAGAATTGTTTCTCTTCTAAGCAACATC